AGTTAAATTTCTAATTTTCATTCCTTAAAATCTCTATTATCAACCTTGGGTGACAAAAAAATAAAGGAAAATATTTAATTTATTTTATCTAATAATTAAAAGTTTTCTTAGTTCTAAAGGACTTTGTTACACAACGAATAGAAACTTCTGATTTTAGTTTTAGAGTTATTTTTTTATCAAAAGTTTAATTATTTTACTTTACCCATGATTGACAATCAAGGTATTTCTATATTTTATTTATTTTAATTTTATTTTAGATCTTGGTCTTAATTATTTTTAAAAAAAGTTACATCAATAGAAGTCATTATGTTGTCAACCACCTTTCTCATCATTCCATTCCTTAATCTCTAATCTATTTTTCTCTATTCTTAATTTAATCATCTCACTATTGAAACTTTGTTTCTTATTATCTAGAAGTGACATGAGAGTTAAATACATGAAATTAATTGATAAAGACAGATATTAAGTATTGAAGATAAGATTTTATTACTCATCTCATCCCATTTCATTATGTTCTTTTCTTTAGTTAATATTTATGTTATAAAAATTAAAAATCGTCAAAACTAACTCTTGCTATCTTTGAGGATCAACCTGAACTTGCACTAATACTAGAATTTATTTAACGAGTTCAATTATAATTTTATTAAATTTATATGCACTAAAACCAACGACTAATGCATGATCAATTATATCTTAAGATATTTTCTTTGCATTTTTATCCTTAAAATTTCAAGATAAGAACTAAAATCAAAATCTAATAGTTGTGCATCATTTTGTTAGACATAAATGATTTTCATACTTTTGATGATTTTCAGACTATTCTCAAAGTATGGGTCAACTTTAATTTAATTTCATTTTGTTAGACATAAATAATTTTACAGTCTAAAAATACCATATTTTTATCCTTAAAGTGATTTTTTGATTATTAAGATGCTCATTGGATCACTTTAATTTTTTAATTAATTAAATTAAAACGAATTAGGAAATAGGAAAAAATACCAAAAATAGTTGGAAAATACCAAAAAAATGGGTGGATAAACAAAAGTGAATTCTTACTATAAATCAAATGATTTGTTTAGCAAGTTGATTCCTAACTGCTTATAATTGATTTTAGATCTAATGGGAATATAAAAACTTTTGAGTTAGGGTGAAAGGGGTTCCTAACTACTAATGGGAGTATAAAGGGAGAAATGTTTGATTTTTAATCTATTTTTTGTTCAATTGTTTAGATTTTTGAGTTTGGAATATTTATATTCTCATTCAAAAATCAATTTCATGCAACAAAAACCAATTAAGTTTCCCTGAAATTGGAATTTGTTCATCTACTTCATCTTGTCAAAGGACTTTTCAATTTTGGATCTTTTTTATTTATGTTTTCTTAATTTTTCTAATATGTTTTCTTAATTTTTCTAATATGTTTTCTTAATTTTTCTTGAGTTTAATTGATTATAAACCTTTTTAGAATCCTTATTCCTTCTATTTTTCTGTCTATTTTTGTATAGTTTTTCTTAAATAAAATGTTAGTTTCTCTATGGGTGGGTTTTCTCCCATTGGTAAAGCCATTTCTCTTTGTGTTCTTGCTTCTATCTCTCTTCTTTTTTGTTAAGTTAATTATTTTACAGTAGATTAAGAACTTCATGATGACAATAGATCATAGGAGCTGGTCCCAATTGATTGAGTACAAAATATTTCTCTTACTCTCCCTTTCAATTATTTCTTTAATTATTTTTTTATTTAGATTCAGATTTATTTAGACAAAAATATTATCATTTGTTATGTTCCCTACAAATTTGACATAAACTCACTATTATTACTTGATTTATGTTAAAATAAATTCAATTTTATCAACTTTAAATTTCGCATATCTTAATATAATAAGTAAGAGATGATCAATATATGTCAACAAAAATTAGTTGGAATCTATTAGGCAAATTACATTATTTGATTTAATGAAACATTCATTGACTCCATTGATAAGTCTTCATTATCATAAGTTAATAATTAATTCATAATATATTTTAAGCTTTAGGTCAAGATAAATAAACTTATATTTATGTTAAATTATAAAAAATAGCTTTTAGTTGGTTAATGTGAATTTTTAGTTAATTACGTGATTTTATATAAAAATTAAACACACTTTTTACTATTAAGGTAAAAACTTATATTTTTTATCTAAGTAAATTGTGATTTTCTTAGAGATTTTTGGTGAACAATTATGCTCCCATAATTGGTTAATCATTGACGAATATCTCTTCAACGTGATTTATAAAGTATTGTTACTAAACTTACTAAATAATTTTAGATAAAATGATTGTGAACAAGCTGTCGTCATGAAAAAAATGATTTACCAAGAGAGATTTACCAAGAGATAAGTCACCACCTCTTGAGAGCATACTAGATGCAATGAAGAACCTCATCTTATTGTATAAACTTTAGAATGAAGCTTCTTAATATGCGTCGCACCTTTGTCTAGCTCATCTCTGTTGGGTAACAGTCATTAGAGAGCCACAAAATTATCATTCTTTTATTTTATTAGGTGACAACTACCGGAGACAGTTCAACGACCCACTTCATTAATTTCTAAACTTAAGATCTAGAGATTATCCACATTATTTATGTTCAAAAAGAACCTTCAAGGCTATAGACATTACATGATAATCTTCTCGAACACATAAAATTAGACGATCATTGTCGTGAAGTTAAAACTCTATCTTTCATATTTTAAACTTAATTTTTACTTTATTCAGTAAAATATTATGTGATTTTAAGTTTTGAAACTCTTCTTTATTAAATTATAATTATTTTTGCTTCTACAAAACTTAATTTCACCTATTAAATCATCTGTAATTACTTATATAAAAATTTTCAGATAGAACTTTATTTCACTCGATTTACATTTGTTGAGTGTTGAAGTCATCTTGACGTTTGCACACTTATTTCTCTTTTTTGTGAATTTGTAAATATATTTTATATTTATCATTTAGTCTAAAAATTATAAAAAAATAGATTCTTTTTAAAAAAATGAAATTTTATCTGATATTATCTTACATCCATATGATCAAGTTTAAAATTCACTAGTATTTTTGAAACCTTTTATCAAATATAATTAATTTATTTAATCTAAAAAATATATAAAAATATAAAAATTAATATTTTCTAATTTTATAAATTTTCAATTTACATGATTTACTATACAATAACTAAGTCACATCATCCAACAATCAACTAATAATAGATCAATACCTCAATCAACAATTCACATTCTAAATAACAATCAACACTTGATTAATTATCAACAATTGATAGTCTAACATTAAAATGAGCTCCTACACTAGATAGTCATTTATTTTGGGAATAAGATTATATTTAATCCCTCTTTCTTTCCAGTTGAACATTTGTATTAATTTTCTATATTATCTTGTAATTGAGATTGAGTGATCTTCAAATAAGTTCATTTATTGATATCGTTGGTGGAGGGGTGTGAGATAGTTTATAAAATCATTTTGGCAATAAGTTCAATTATTAAATATTCAATAATTGATATGGTGGGTGGTGTGCTTTAATCTCAACAGTTTCTAAACTTTGTTGATTTGATCTATTTCAAATCTTGAAATAAAACACTCAATCATATCTTAATCAACCCTTTTAGACTAGTAGATTCAATCTGAAAAATAATTAAATTATTTATTAGGGTTAGTCTCAGAGAGAGAGAGAGCCATAAGAGAAAAACCATATAAATTATCCATTTATGGATCATTTGGGGAAGGTTGCTGGCCCGAACCCAAAATTGATCCATAAATATAAAATAAAACGCTCTGTCCACAGAATCGCACGACCGAAAGCCCGCAGAATCGCACGATCCACCGACAAACCAATCACGTCAGCAGCCCCCCTGACAGAAACCTTCTTCAAAGCCCATTATCCTACCCGCTGAATTCCGGTGGTGGGCCCGCCTCCGCTCTGTCCACATTTACCAAATCTGCTCAATAATGTGTTTTATTTACTATTTTCTTCTTCTTCTATTTTGCGCCCAAAATACCAAAATCCCCACATTATGTTTAATAATTAGGATAATCTCAAATATGCCATTCTAGGCCGGTTACCCTCCACGTGGCTGCACGTCTGAGGGAGCTCTTAGAGAGTGGTGCCGTTCGGCGGGATCGTGTCGTCATTTCCTAGAGAGAGGAACAAGTTAGGGTATCGTGTCGCCATGTATGGAGAGAAAAACACGTGTGTAGCCGTGCGAGGGGTAGGTGGCAGCGGCGTGGAACGGATGAATGGCTCGTGTCGTCATCCTGGCATCCGAATCATTCAATCTAGACCGTCAATGACCTCATGTGTTGGAGGGGAGTTGGTACGCCAACTCTCACCGACTCCCACCGGACCCTACCTCGTTGACCCCACCAAACTCAATCAGAGTCATCACCTGAAGTAATAATAATAATAAATAAATAAATACTGTTTTCATCACAATCTAACGGTAAAAATCATATTTTTATTCAGTACCTTTTCTTACTACCTCATCCTGGCCATCAACTCGCTGACTTTGACTAGTTCTCCACCTAGTGCGGGCCCCAGCCGAATTAAGCTTTTTTTAGACTATTGGTCCGATTATCACTCCCCGGCCCAATTCCCTTCTGAACCTATCCACCCTCGTCTGATAAAGTTGCCAGGCTAATTGGGTTTGAGCAATTGTCACCGAGTCTTCATCTGATCCCAGTCAACGTTTACGAGATGTGTGTGGGCCCTAACAAAAATACATACCCAGTAAGCATCTATTAGCATGCCAAGTATAAAGTAAAAAAACAAATTTATACTAAAAAATTGTATTTTTTTAGTGGGACCCACCATATTCCTCTCTTACCTACCGCCACCAACTATCCGCGGGGTTGCGCAATACAAGAACACCCCCCCCCCCGCCCCGCAGACCTCAGCGTCGCCCGTAGAGGTCGCCCTCCTCCCAAGCGCCGCCAATTCGCCACCGACCCGCCGCCGCGACTATGGGGATCGAAACGCTGACCGCCGCCGGGTGGGCGGTGGTGGCGGTGGTGGCGATGGCGGTGGCTGTGGTGCTCCGGCGGGTGCTGGGGCCACGGCTGCCGCCGGGGCCGCGGGGGTGGCCGGTGGTGGGGAATCTGTTCGACGTAAAGCCGCTGCGGTGTCGGTGCTACGCGGAGTGGGCGGCGGAGTACGGGCCGATCGTGTCTGTGTGGCTGGGGTCGACACTGAACGTGGTGGTCTCGAGCGTGGAGCTGGCGAGGGAGGTGCTGAAGGAGAAGGACCAGCAGCTGGCGGACAGGCCGAGGAATCGGTCGACGGCGAGGTTCAGCAGGGACGGGAAGGACCTGATCTGGGCGGACTACGGGCCGCACTACGTGAAGGTCAGGAAGGTCTGCACGGTGGAGCTCTTCTCCCCGCGCCGCCTCGAGGCCCTCCGTCCCATCCGCGAGGACGAGGTCACCGCCATGGTCCAGGCCCTCTACCGGGACTGCATCAACCCCGGTAACTCTCTCTCACCACCTCTCTCTTCATCTCCATCTTCTGTGGCTGTAATCAGCGGGAGGTGATCTCTAGTCTGATCTACGGTTGGTGGCGGTTGTTGGCTCCGGTCCTATTGTCTGTTTCACCCCAGCCGCCATCTCTCTCTCTCTCTTTACGAACTTACACAGAGAGAGAGAGAGAGAGAGAGAGAGAGAGAGGGTTTTCTCTTACTGTGAATTGGGTAATGGGACTGCTTCGCTGTCCCCAAGTGCCCATTTGAACCGTAGCTCTCTCTCTCTAGCGACTTTCGAACTAGTCAAGAAAGGTGTTCTCTGACTCTCATGCTGTTGGGTTAATGTGGGCTGCTTTGCTGTCCCCTAGTGCCCATATTTATCTCTCTCTCTCTCTCTCTCTCTCTCTCTCTCTCGCTATCTACATAGTATGGTTAAGGCTAGGATCCGAAGGGTTTAACCATACAAAGATAAGACCATTAGTTTTCGACCTCGCTATCCAGACTGTTGCTTGGATTACCGGACGGGTCCGTTCTTTGGAGCATCCCATTTAGCTAAAAGCCCACGGTGAGGTACATATTTTTTCTAAACCTCCCCACAACGTTTTTATATGGTCAAACTGTTTTCGTAGCTCATGTGTCCCTAATCTATTGCCTGCAGTATACCGAGAATGGTGCCTTTCCCAAAAGCATCCCTCTATTTATCATTTTGTTGATAAAAAAATTCTTAAGATTTTATATTCGATTTTAAACCTCTTTCTAATTGTGCTGCCCAGCCTAGGATGTGAGGATACCATGAGGTTTTGCAAAAAAACCCTCAAAAATTAGGAATTTTGATTTTTATACATCTATATCACGCTCTGTTGACCTTAGGAAAAGCACCCGTTTCATAAAAACCTGTTCCGAATGCGTATTTATATTATTTTTATCTGTTATTAGGAGTTGTTCTTTGCTAAAAGGCCTCGTAATTTCTAAATTTTGCATTTATACGCTTCTATTACCCTCTGATGGCCTTGGGACAATACCCAAGTTCCATAAGACGCTGTGGGTAATTATAATATTTTCAACTGTTATTAGGAGGCGGAACACGAGTTTTTAAATTTTCGTTTATTTGGCCTCCGAATGCGGGTAATGGTGATAGTTTTTATTTTTAGGGGTGCCAGGTGGGTTTCTTACGTGTTTTTTTTATTTTTATGTGGATTTTTGCAGAGAAGAAGGGGAGGAGCTTGGTGGTGAACGAGTACCTGGCGGCGGTGGCCTTCAACAACATCACCCGGCTGGCCTTCGGGAAGCGCTTCGTCGACGACGAGGGGGTGGTGGATGAGCAGGGCCTAGAGTTCAAGGCCATCGTGTCCAACGGAGTGAAACTCGGGGCGTCACTTGCCATGGCGGAGCACATCCCATGGCTCCGCTGGATGTTCCCCCTCGAGGAGGAGGCCTTCACCCAGCACAACGCCCGCCGTGACCGCCTCACCACCGCCATCCTGGACGAGCACACCCGCATCCGCCTGGAGAGCGGCGGCGCCGCCAAGCAGCATTTCGTCGACGCCCTCCTCACCCTGCAGCAAAAGTACGACCTCAGCGACGACACCGTCTTCGGCCTTCTCTGGGTACCCTTCGTCCCCTTCCTCTTGTTCACATTCCCCTTCCCCTTTCACTGAGTTTCTAGGGTGGGTTTGACGTGGACTGACCTGTGTGGCGGCGGCAATGGCAGGACATGATAACTGCGGGGATGGACACGACGGTGATATCGGTGGAGTGGGCGATGGCGGAGGTGATCAGGAACCCGAGGGTGCAGGCGAAGGCGCAGGAGGAGCTGGACAGGGTGGTGGGGAAGGAGAGGGTCCTCTCAGAGACGGACTTCCCCAACCTGCCGTACCTCCAGTGGGTGGCGAAGGAGGCCCTGCGCCTCCACCCGCCGACGCCGCTGATGCTCCCCCACAAGGCCGCCACCGCCGTGAAGCTCGGCGGCTACGACATTCCCAAGGGCTCCAACGTGCTGGTCAACGTCTGGGCCATCGCTCGGGACCCTGCGGTGTGGAAGGATCCTCTGGTATTCCGGCCGGAGAGGTTCTCCGAGGAGGATGTCGACGCCAAGGGGCACGACTTCCGGCTGCTTCCCTTCGGCGCCGGCCGGCGGGTCTGCCCGGGGGCGCAGCTGGGGATCAACATGGCCCAGTCGATGCTCGGCCACCTGCTGCACCAGTTCCGGTGGGAGCTGCCGGAGGGGGTCTCGCCGGAGGATTTGGACATGGAGGAGAGCCCCGGGCTGGTCACCTTCATGAGAACGCCCCTGCGGGCGGTTGCGACGCCAAGGTTGCAGGCCGCCGAGCTCTACAAGCGCGTGCCGGCGGAGATCTAAATCAGCTCGCCTCCGTCTCCTTTTTTTTCTGTGGTTGATCGAAACCTGCGAATCTGATTCAGCTAGGGTAGAGAGAGGGAGAGAGAGAGAGAGAGGTGAGGATGATGATGAATAATGCTCTCTGAGTTATTAGATTTTGCTGTACCTTGTACCTTTCATGGAATGAATTCCGGTGATGTTTCCCGGCAGAGAAACTGAAGAGATCATCAAGTTTCGTCCATCCTGATGAGAACGAAAGGTAGAAGCTATCCTGCCTTCTGATTCATCTTCTACCTCCTTTCCAATCTCTCTCTCTGTCAATTGAATTAACGATCCCTGGAAGAAGACGCTCTCCTCTGGCCAAGTAATCGACGAGATATGCTGGCGACTTTCAGAGAGTCGCTGATCGAGGAAACGAAAGGTAGAACCGACCGCGCCTTCTGATCCATTTTCTTCCTCCCCGTCCCCCCTCGTGTTCTTCTTCCCCCGTTTGAAACCTCCCAGTCGGCCGCCGTCGATCCCGCCGGTCGCCGGAAATGGAGATCGGAGCTCTCCCCGCTGACGAAGAACAGAGAGCGAGAGAGAGAGAGAGAGAGAAGGCAAATTCTGTTACCGTCCCGAAAAGTATTTTGCCCTGCAGTCCTCTTTCCGCGGGCCGGACCGTGCTGTGGAGGCGGGAAACGGGGCGAGGGTGGAGAGAGAAACCGGAAGATCGGTGAGAGATGGAGGGAGAAGCAGAGAGAGGCGGCCGCCGGAGCGGAGGAGGATCGACGACGCCGGCGAAAATGACGACGGATCCACCTCTCCGCCACACGGAGGTTTCAGCAATGGAGAGAGAGGCCTGGAGCATCGCTGATAAAGGAGAATGAGAGGGAGATAAAATGGGGGAGGAAACAGGATTACCAGGAAGGATGAATGAGGAGATGGAAGGCCGAATTGCAGAGAGCCGAGATCGTCGCAGTCGGTTGATCAATCAGGTTACCTCCCTCTCCAACCCACTCTTCCATCCCTGCCTCCATCGCAGAATCATTCTCTCACAGATCTACCTGCCTAGGGTTCAACGACACGCACTGCAGATGCTTATCTCTCTCATGGCACTCTTCAATCTTCTGGTTAGAAGCCATTCGATTGACGACAGGCCTCGATAGGGTCTCCTTGATGAAGATTGCAGAAGAATCCATAGAAGATGAAGATTATTGCAGCCATTCTGATGGCGTTTTGAATGTGGTTACGGATTCAAAAAAAGTAGACAACCATACAGAACAGATGTTCATTCATCATGGAGGTGCAAACAATTACTGCTCGTCCATCATCAGGTATAAACTGAGAACCAGAGAACCAGAGAGAGAGAGAGAGAGAGAGAGAGAGAGAGAGAGAGAGAGAGAGAGATAGTGAGAGAGAGAGGGAGGGTTTTTGGGCAGAGCTTTCTTCTCCACCTGTTAGATTTGGGTGTCAATCCTAGGTTCAGGGAGGGACTGATTCAGGAAGAAGATTGAAGATCTGTGAGGCCAGGCAGAGCATCGCAAGGACCTGCCATCTTTTCTATGATCTATAAACATCATTTTCCAATGAGGATTATACAGGCTACAAGGGAAAATGGCCTCCTTCACCATGAAAATTCTTTTTACAGGATGCAGCTTATTCTCTGTGCTCGTATGCATGAGGGATCCTTCCAAGTGGGGACGGCAACCAAGAGAGAGAGAGAGAAAAAAAATAAGAAAACCCTAAAAGAATCAAAACAATCCAGCGCCGAGCTTTGTTTACCCTGTCGACGGTGCTTCTCTCGCACTCGGACCGCAGTACTCTGCCACGAGCCTGGAGAAGGCGGAGTTCGTCTCCATGAGCCTCGTTGGCTTATCGTACTCCACCACCATCCCTGCACAAACCCACAAGGATTCTCAGACGGAGATGAAGATCAAGCATCTGTCTATCTTATTCCTGCTCCCTTTTCCATAGCCCAACAAGTTGCTCGAGAGCCATGGATGGAACCCGTTTTTCATTTCCAGTGAATCAATCACCTCAGCAGGGTATGTCCTCTCTCTCTCTCTCTCTGCATCTCTCTTTGCCTCTGACTTGATCGTTTGCATCTGAGTTCATTCTATGAAACTCATGATACTGTTCTATGATTGTGTATTGCAGATTACCACATTCCTGTCCAACAATCATCAAATCACCACAAGTTCCTTTTCCTCTGACTTAATTCTCGAGATACATTTCCTTTTTTGCGACTGATTCGTTTTCTTCTGAGTTCATTCTACGGAACTCATGATATCATGATTTGTGTTATGAACATGGTTTCTGATCAATAAGGGAAGGGAAAAAGAAAGGATAGAAAACGTGAAAGGAAGAGAATTTCTGATGGCGTACCGTTGGATAGAACCATGACCATATCGCTGTCTGTGACTGTGGGAACTCTGTGAGCTATGGTGATCACTGTACAACTTGAGAATTCCTCCTTGATGACTCTCTGAAGAATGGCGTCCGTCGCAGAATCTATGGAGGCGGTGGCTTCATCCAGCACGAGGATCTTATTCCGCTGGAGCAGGATCCGGCCCAGGCAGAAGAGCTGCCTCTGCCCGGCGCTCAGATTCTCTCCCTCGTCGCTCACTGTCAACAGAGGAAGAAGGCAGAGAGCTCGTCAGCCTCCATGTCCTGATTGCTCAGATGAAGGAAGCCGTGCTGCTCACCAGGTGAATCGAGGAGGTTGGGGAGGCTGCTGACCATCGCCTTCAGCTGGCACTTCTCTATCGCCTGCAATTCAATGGAGGTATGGTTTGTGATGCTAGATTGTCCTCTCAACTTGCAGGGACTTTTTAGGGTTAGTCGAGCTCACCTCCCATATCTGCTGGTCAGAGTACAGGCCCAGAGGGTCGAGGTTGCTTCTGACGCTGCCGCCGAAGAGGGCCGTCTCCTGCGGGATGATGCTCAGCTTTGTCCTCAGATCTCTCAGTCCGATGGAACAGATGTCCAGGTTGTCGATGAGGATCCTGCCGCCGACTGGCTCCACCAGGCGGAAGAGGGCGCTGATCAGAGTTGACTTCCCGCTGCCGGTTCTCCCCACGACGCCGACCTTGCTCCCCGCCCGGAAGGTGCAGGAGATGCCCTTGAGGATCATCGGCGCCTCCGGCCGGTACCGGACCTGTAACCCCACCAGAGCTTTCTCATAACAGAGCTCGAGGAAGGAGGAGGAAGGAAGGAAAAGGGAGGAAGGAGAGCCCACCTGAAGATCTTGCAGGTCGATGTGCCCCTCGGAGGGCCACGATGGCGGCGGGCGGTTTCCTTCCACGACGGCGGGCGGCTCCGATGGGATGTTCATGTACTGCTTTATCCGCTCGACGGAGATGATGTGGTTGTCCATATTGCAGAACCACCGTGTCAGGAAGACTTGGGAGGTCGTCAGCGTCAGCGCGTAGGAGAGGGAGAGCCCCACGAAGCCTGGAATCTCAGAAGCTCAGAGGAAGAAGACGAGGAAGAGGGCGGAGTTCAGAGGAAGAAGAAGACGACGAGGAGGGCAGGGGCGGGGTTCAGATGTCACCTGGAGCGATGGCGCCGCGGGGGAGGAGAACCATTGTGAGCGCCGCCGTCACGATGGTGAGGTTCTGCAGGGCCTCGACCCTCATGAGGAGCCACTCCATGGAGGCAATGGAGTGGAAGAAGAGGGTGGCGTCGGTGTCGATCAGCTTCAGGTTGTTGCGGATGAACCTCTCCGCTGAGCCGAAGGCTCTGATGGTCATCACCCCCAGGGAGGTCTCCGCCGCGTAGTTCACCACCGGCGCCTTCGTCGTCCCGTTGATCCGGATGAGCTCCCTCGCCGACGCCAGGTAGTACCTCTTCAAGATCACCATCACCATCGTCGGAAAGATCGTCCCTTTTTCTTTCTTCTTTTTTTGTGGCAGGAATCGGAAATGAAGTGGAGTCACTGACCTGCAGATATCTGGTGAAAAACATGATGGGGATGGCGACGACGACGACCGGCCAGGTGACTACCGTCATGATCAGGATCGTCGCCAGGACCTCGATCGCCGCCACCAACGCGAAGGCCAGGGAGTAGGGGATGTTGAAGTCAAGTACACTCATGTCCGTCGATGCCTGCGTAATCTCCGAGTTCCGGTCAGAAACAAATCCGGTGAGAACTGCTGATCTTTTCTACTCTCGGTTTAAAACCCTTGAAACATCTTAGAAGATAGAATCGATTATGGTTCAAAGATCCAAGCTTTTTGATATTATGTGGAGATCATTAAAACCCACCCTTGAAACTTCTTAGAAGATCGATTCGATTATCGTTTAAAGAAAGATCCCGTCTTTTTTTTTTATATATTCTGTGTTGTTCAAGGAAAGATCCAAACTTTTTTGATTTCTTGATGGGATCAGGACTTACCCGCGTGAGGATTCTGCCGACGGGGGTGGAGTCGAAGAACTGCATGGGGGCCTTGAAGAGGGAGTCCATGAAGGCAGAGAAGAAGGCCTTGGAGGCCTTGAGGCCCAGGCGGGCGCCCAGCCAGCTTCTCAGGTAGGCGGAGACCCCGCTGAGGATGGAGAAGACGGCGTAGACCCCGATCAGGGTCCCGCTGCTCACGTGGGGCCTTTCAATGGCGATAGCCAGCCAGAAGGTCGATATCGCCTGCAAGACGACGAAGCCGGACTGGCAGAGGATGACCAGGCCGAGCAGGAGGGAGGCCCCCGAGACGCCGATGTAGTCGGCGTACGGCTTCCAACCCAGGTTTCCCATCTCCTTCTCCTCCTCCGCCGTCAGTTGGGTCTTCGACAGGCCCTTGGCGGCGGCGGCGGCAGGCGGCGCCGCCTTGCCGGCAACGGCGGGGTCTTTCTGCTCCGGTTCCGTCGCGGTGGCGCCTTTGCAGTAGTACCTATTCTCCACGGAGTCGAGCACCGCCAGCGCCGACTGGTGGGCGTTGACCAGCTGCTCGAACGCCGTCCCGGACTTGAGGAGCTCCTCGTAGGTCCCCGACTGCGTGATCCTCCCTCCCTCCATCACCTGCCAGAGGGAGGGAGCGCTTTTCCACGGTCAGCGGCGGTGAGTTCTTGACGACGAAGACGATGATGTGCAGGAAGTGGGGGATGATTCATTTACCAGGATTTTGTCCGTCTCTGTCAGGAACTCGACCTGGTGGGTGACCAGGATGACCGTCTTCTTCCTCAGCGCCGCCATCACGCAGTCCTGCAATCCACAGAAGAGATCAGCTTGGCTGGCGGCGGCGGCGGCGGGCAGCGGAGTGGCGGCGGCGGAGGGGATGCTCACGTGGAAGAGGATGGAGGCGGTGTGGGCGTCGACGGCGCTGAAGGGGTCGTCGAGAAGGTAGATGTCGGCGTCGCTGTAGACGGCCCTGGCGAGCTGGACCCTCTGCTTCTGGCCGCCGCTGAGGTTGATCCCCCGCTGGCCGATCTCCGTGAGGTCGCCATGGTCGAAGTTCTCTAGGTCCTTGCCCAGCGCGCAGGCCCTGACGGCGAGCTCGTACCTCGCCTTGTTCATCGGCCGCCCAAAGAGGATGTTGTCTCTGATCGTCCCGCTCTGGATCCAGGAGCTCTGCGAGACGTACGCGATCGATCCGAACACTTCCACCTGCGGCGCCGGCGAGCTCGGTTAGGGTTTCCTTTCCTTCGTTTTTCATGGTTTTTTTTTCTTGCAGGGAAGCGGAGGAAGGAGGAGATCTAAGGATGGTTTGCTCACTGTGCCAGCGATCTTGGGGATCTCGCCGAGGACGGCGGCGAGGAGGGAGGACTTGCCAGCGCCGACTGGGCCGCAGACGGCGATCTTCTGGCCGCGGGTGGTGGCGAGGTGGACGCCCCGGAGGGTTGGGGCGGGGGCATCGGGTTCCCAGCAGAAGTCGCCGGCGGTGATGCAGACGCTCACGTCGGAGCTTCCCGGGGCGGCGCTCCGCCGGAGGACGTCCTCGTCGTTGAGCTCCTCCTCCCGGAGGAAGGCGTCGAGGCGGTCGAGGGAGACCTTGGTCTGGATCATCACGGAGAGCACCTCCGGCAGCATCTTCGCCGGCTCCGCCATGACGCGGAGCGTCGCCAGGACGGTGAAGATGGTGCCGGCGTCCAGCGGCGCCGTCCCCAGCGCGGCGCAGCCGGCGAAGACCACGGCGGAGACGAAGGTCGGGGACATCCAGTAGAGCCCGCTGCCGTAGGCTTTTTTAATCTGGGCCTCCGCGAGCCACCTGAACTCGGCGTCCCGCAGTGCCTGGATCACGCTCCTGAACTTCTCCTCCCACGCCTGCAGCTTGATGATCTTCATGCTGTTGAGGATCTCCGAGGTGGCGCGGAGGCGCTCGTCCTGCGCTGCCACCACCCGCGACTGGCAGCGCTGCAGGATCTTGGCGAAGGGCAGGTTGAGGACGCCGAAGAGGACGAGCGGCACCAGGCCGGGGAGCACGCCGAGGCCGACGATGCCGAAGAGGACGGCAACGCCGAGGAGGAGCTGCAGGGGGAGGCTCCAGGCCATGTGGAACCACCAGGGGAACTCCGCCAGGCGATAGGCGTCGACGGCGATGTAGCTGACGATCTCCCCGCGGGAGTGGCGGCGTCGCCCGCGGCTCGACAGGCGGAGCTGCTTGCGGAAGATGGCCGCCACTAGCGCGGACCGCATGCGCATGCCGAAGCGCCGGGAGTCGAAGAACCAGTGCCGCTGCGAGAGGGACTCTACGAGCTTCACCGCCAGGAGGCAGGCCACGAGGAGCACCCCCGGGGGGGCGGCGCCACCGCCGCCGTCGGAGAAGCGGACGAAGGCGTAGAGGAGCACTGGGAGGAACACAACGGCGACGGTGCGGAGGAAGGCGTAGACCCCTACCAGTGCCATCTCCTTGGCGTAGCAGCGGGCTAGCGTGAGAACGACCAGGTTGCTGGTTATTGAGAAGCTCTTTCCCTGGAGGACGCCGTTCCAGGCGTGGAGGAAGAGCTCGCCGGCGCGGAGGGCGCCGTCGTCGCAGTCCAGCGCCGGCACGACGTCGAGGTTCAGCGGCTTGCGGGAGCCCGCACGGAGGAGCGGGTTCATCCAGGAGAAGGTGAGCCGGCTGAGGAGGCCGGCGCGGGCGAGCTCTGACTTCCGGTGGCCGCCGGCGATCTCGCCGGCGCCGCCTAGCAGCGGGTGTGAGAGGCCGCCGGCGCCGCCGGCGCCATGGTCGAAGAGGTTGCCGGCGACGGCGACGGCGCAGAATAGCAGCAGCAGGTTCACCGGCCAGGAGACCATGTCCAGGATATGGAAGCTGTGGGTCCTCGCGAGGGTCTCCACGTTGAGGGCGGAGACGAGGAGGGAGAAGGAGACCCACCAGAGGGAGACCAGCACCTTCATCCACTTGGTCAGCTGGATCTGCAGGGACGCCGCCAGCGCCACCCACACGAGCCCCCTCACGAAGTACACCGCCCAGGTCCAGTGCAGCCCCGCCCCCGCGGCGCTGCCGAGGGGGGCGCCGCCGCCGCCACCGTGGAGAATGGCCCAGAAGCCGGCGGCGAAGTAGGCGAACCCCGTGAGGGTGCAGCAGACGGACACCACCACGAAGACGCAGTCCCTGGTGTACTGCTTTTTGAAGGACTTGGCGACGAGCGCCGCGCAGAAGGAGAGGAGGAACAGCAGGTTGAGGACATCCACGATGCTCCTCTGCGTGCAGGACGAGCCCAGCCGGAACTGCCCCCCGCACAGCCACGGCATCTCCCCTGCTAGATGGAGAGAGAAACACATCTAGCAGAGAAAACATAGAGAGAGAGAGAGAGAGAGAGAGAGAGTGGGAACGCTCGACTGCGAACCTTCCGCCATTCTGAGAAGAACCCTCCCAAGCTCTCCGGCAACACTATGCGGCGGCGACCCTCAGGCGGGCGGCGGCGACGGCGGCGACGGCGGCGGTGGCGGCGGATGGAGTAGCAGCCCCGACGACATGGAGGGCCAGGGAAGCCCCGGCTCGCCCGTCTCTCTAACACGGCGGCTGCGCCATCGTCCCCAAGAATCCTTCAACAACGCGGTGCTCCTCTTCTTCTTCTTCTTCTTCCTCCTCTTTCTCTAGGAGTCTGAGCTGATTCCGTGTCTGTGACTGACTGAACACTCTCTTTCTACCCAGCTGCGGCGGCGCGGGGGGCCTCGAGAGAGAGGAGGACGGCCCATGGGAGGCTTCTTCAGGTTTTCCACGTCACGCCGGGAGACATCTGCGAGTTTTTCTCATGGAAGTAGCGATAGATGTTGAAGGTGTGGAAGAAGGAAGGAGGCAACCACCAGGGGGGGGGGAGGAGGGGACTCCCCTTCTGTTATACCAGTCAACCTGCCCAACCCGAAGGACTATCATATCGGTCCCATAATCGGGTCGGATCCTTCCAAATGAGTCTCATCAATATTGGAAATTTCCCTCTCCCCCCCCAATTATTTCGATATGGAGCAATGCAAAGGTGGTCCATATTGATAATTCCTAATGTGAGCGGGTCAGTGGAGGATTTCTCCTTGGTTGATTTATTAGTCGAGGATTAAGCGAGGGTATTTTGTTCTACAAAACTTTGATTGATTAATTAGCCAAGCATTTCACCTTGGTTTATTTTTCTCATTGAGAAAAATAAATTCCTAGTTATAATATTTTTGGAGTTCAAGCGTAGGGAAATCGATTACAATGAGATGGATTAGAAAGTCGATGATGCTCAACATGGGATTGGCAATTTGGAGAAAATGATTTTATTTTTTGTTTTCGTAATACATTTTTAGGCAAGTCCACATCACACACCCCCTTTTCTCTCCCTCTCTCTCTCTACTAATGGAGACGTGAGTAAAAAGGCAAATAATCAGAATTATGACGTTCAAGTGTGATATTCTCTAAGCTGTTGACTTGTGGATTTGTTCATGGATACCAATGATGAAATGGTGCAATTAAGGGAAAAAATCCACGGTCAATCGTTGGATATCCTGCCATCAACTCTTCAATTCCCCACAAGCCCTTCAACTAACATTTCCCCCCCCCCCCCCCCCTTCTCTCTCTCTCTCTCTCTCCGTATATAGAAGTATTTATCTGAGTATCTACACATTATTTTCTTTGTCAGATGAGGAAATTTATTCCATAACTACTCACTCCATTGAAGAGAAAATGATATGAGTAGGATTAGACCCCAAGCATGAAGGAAACCCACATGGTAAAATGCTTGAATTGTGTAGAATTCGTACGATCCGAATTTTTTTTCCCCTAGAAAGAGAGAAGACCCGTGTGCTCCGTTCCCATGTCTATCACACAGAGTACTACTCGGTAAGAAGAACGGCGTGGGGAAGGAAAGGGGGTCGCCAACGTACGGCAGCTACCCTGCAGCTGAGAAGCTTCCCCTCGGCTCGCCTCCATGGATGTACAGCACCTCCAGCCCGTGGACTTCGTTTTGTTTAGTTGCCCTCCGGACTATGGGGCTTCGTCCACATGGCCCACCTCAATAACTCTCTCTCTCTCTCTCTCCTTCCTTTCACTCCATCTCTTTCTCTCCGCTTTCCTCTCTCGAACTCTATCCCCATCTCTTCCCGTCACTCTATCTATTTCTCTCTCTAGTTCTCTCTCTAGTTCTCTCTCTAGTTCTCTCTACAAACGTCTCTCTCGATTTCTACCTCTATCGATCCCTCTGTATCCATCTTTGGATGGGAGTCCTGACAACAGCCGCTGACAGTGAACCCACATCTAGATGGGAGAGAACCATGATTATAACGATAGAGATGGGTATGCTACATGGAAAATGAGACATGGGTCGCCGGACATTTCTTATACGCACGAGAGAGAGAGAGAGAGAGAGAGGATCCATCCATCACATCCATCTCAGTCGCAGGTTATAATCCGGTCACCGTCGCCGGAGGAGGCCGACGGCGACGAGGCGATGGTTACACCAATCCCAAGAATGTGAAGCTGACGAGAAGAGAAGAAACTTGAGAAAAAAAGCTTGGTTTTGTTCAGTTGAGGTTTCGGATAAATCCGGTTGGCGTTTGATTGGCAGGGTCATGTCCCCTTCGCAATGGACTCTGTTGCCTGTCCAGTGCCTCTGAAAGAGAGAGATAGAGAGAGAGAGAGGAACATCTCTTTCACGCAGTTCATCTTTTCCATCAACCTGTTATCATCGCCACACGGCTCCCTTGAGGAGGCATCATTGAGGGGAGTACACCGTCTCCCTTGGCTGGAACTCTTCAATTATTCCACAATCTCTCACTGATTGCAGCCAACTGCCACTGAAGACTACGACTTGGAGTACAGACGACATGCCTCATCAGCGTCGAGGCCGGGTTCCTGACTGTCCCATCTCTCCTGGGTCATCCCCCCCACAAGATAGCAGTCGGGTTATCTTTTTTTCTTATGGGTATGAGAGAGAGAGAGAGGAGTTCAGATTGTAACTTATTCACTTACACATATGGGTAGTATTCATAAGAATCTCTTCCGTATCAATAGCAAAAAGGATGACAATTCGACGATAAATCTCTCTCTCTCTCTCTCTCTCTCTCACAATCTGTCTCTCTATGCCCTTGATCCTGGGGGAAACTAACAATGGTATACATTTGGAGGATCACCTAAGTATCCTTTATACGTAAGTTGGTGCGCTGATTATCTAGATTATGAGCAAGAAGCTCTCTCTCTCTCACACACACACACACACAAACCCACACACACATAAGCTCTGTCTCTCTATGTCCTTGATTCTGGGGGAAGTAAACAATGCTACTCATTTGAAGAATCACCTACGTATCCTTAATACCAAAGTTGGTGCTTCGATTATCAACATAATGAACAATCAGCTCTCTCCCTCTCTCTCTCTCTCTCCCATAAATCCTTGATTTTGTGTGGATTAAATGAGGCCAGACATACGAACAATCACTCATGCACCCGTATGAAAATATTGGTAGTTCGATTAAATTTGCTGCAATCTCAGAACCCTCTCTCTCTCTCTCTCGACTAACTTCGTCTCTCTGACTAAATATCTGCATATCTGTCTGTGGAAGAATTGAATGACGGTAGGGAATACTAGCATCTTACGGGGAGGAAGGAAGGAGTACGCTGGCGAGTGCAGGAGAGAGAAGAAGCGGTGGCCCTGTGTGGGCTCAATCAGCGTTGGCGATTGCGTCTACTTGTGACGGTCGGTATACGCTTGACGTACGTAGGGCAATCCTTCTCTTCCCCGCGAAGCTTCTCTCCTCCGCCGGCAGCCGCTGTGCCCGGTCTCTGCCTCCCCGGCCGGCGATCGTACCTCCGCCGTGTCCCGCGACCGGATCTCTTCTCACTACGAACGACTGTGGAATGACTGCATCTCTCTCTCTCTCTCTCTCTAATTACAGTGAACAAAACAGGAAAAGGAACTTGTGGGCAAGGGTGATTTGTGAACGATGCAATCAGACGACATGATATCACACACGAGCGAGAGAGAGAGAGCGAGAGCGAGAGAGTGAGAGCGAGAGAGTGAGAGCGAGAGATAGACTCTATTTCTAATTACAGTGAACTAAAAAGGAAAAGGAAGTTGTGGGCAAGGGTGATTTATGAACGATGAACGTCTACGGCTATCAGACGATATGATAAGACATGAGATAGAATACAGAAGAGAGAGAGAGAGAGAGAGAGAGAGAGAGAGAGAGGAACTGATTGTGGGGGTTGACATGTAGCTGAGTAATATTGACGTCAATATTGTATATTTATTTATATTTACAATCAATGAATTTTATAATCCATACAAAATAAGGGAAAACACAACTCGATCACAAGCCCCTAATTTTATATGTGTTTATAAATTAATAATGGGAAATGAATTCCCTATTTATTTTCCTCGACGTAGAAATATCTTCCTCAATCCATTTTCATTTTGATTTACAGAATTTTATTGTAAACATTATGACTTATATAAAATAATGTAGACTTATGACTACGCGTAGTAGCGCTTCAGGACGGGAGTGGGATTGCTCGCTCGGGCTTGATGGCGTCGAATTGTCCTGGGCTCGTAATTTATCGGGCTTTCTTATAGAGCCAAGTACCCTGGCCTGATTTTGTTAATTGATATGGTGCAATTATCACATGACTTAAAAGAGAGAGACAGACAGACAGAGAGGGAGGGTATAAGGGACTTGAAAAGCCCAGTCTGGGCCGGTAATCTTGGTCCTTTCCGTTTTGGACTTCAATATGAGGCCCGTTCTTCTCATTTTCCTGGTTCTCTCTCTCTCGGATTGGTTATCGGGCCTGAGCCTGGGCTATTTGAGGGTTCGGCCCGGATCTCATTCTCCGGGCTTTTCTGTGGACAAATGGGCCCTGACCTTTCGGTGATAGTCTATTTTCCGGTCTTTTCTTCAGTTTTGAGCCGGGCTTCACGATGTTTGTTGCTGGATGTGGGTCATAGCTCGGTGACACATCATCGCGGTGGGGTGTCCCGCGGGACCATCATGCAACGTTATCGACGATCTCCGGTGGTCGTCGGTTCTTGGCGCCACCGGCAGTTCAAACTGGAGATGGCGAAGTTGGAGAGCAAAGAAAGGCAAGGGGCGGCGGTGGGCGGGGGAAGAAGGGGAAGGGGGGAAGGCAAAGCCGAGGTCTCGCCGGCGACGACTCCGCCACCTTCACTTGCCCGACAGAGAACCACTCCTTCCGTTCTTCCGATACTCCTCGCAATTGCCTCTCCACTGCCTCGAATCGTCCCGCGTCTACACGGCGAACCGCGAAGGCGATCAACCTCCGATCCCTAGGGTTTCATCTCCACACCGTCTGTCTCTCTCCCTCTCGGCGTCGGCAGGGGGGATGTCTCGTCTCCAACTGGTCCTCCCCCCGCACGCGGAGACCACTACGTGCGGGGCCATGCTCAAGGAGTTACAGGTGTTGTGAATTCGATGTTTGAGTTGTTCACGGCCCATTTCTTGAAAACACTTTCGTGGGTTCCCCACCGTTGATGATGATGGTGATTGATGAAAGGCATGGAAATCAGTATAAAAATTATTAGTTCCATACATTTCTTGTTTTCCTTTTCTTTAGCTGCCTTTTATGTTGTTCCTGGGTTAAATTCCGGAGGAGATCTCAGGGATTTATTTGTTACAGATCACCAGGTGAGAATTGTGAAGGTGTTTCTATGCTCGTTACCGCTTGGAGCCTTGCTCAAGAATTATTGTATTTACCCGTATCTAAGCCAAAATATCGTCTTTACCAGTCTCTCCCTCTCTCCCCTCTGTCTATCTTTTAACCGACTATCTCAGCCAGTTTTCTTTGTTTCAGTTCGCCAATGGGATGTGAAACGGAAATATTTACTTCTTTTCTGGTCCATGTTTGGAAAGTTACTATCATTTAGACGTTAATTTTTTGACGTCTTCCTGTTGTTTTTTTCCAAATTTTTTTCAGCGATAACTCTTTTTTTTTAGTAACATTCCTTCCCTGATCTCTGCGGCTATTTTATACACTTTTCATCAATAACTTAGCGTTACGCATTTGTAAAACATGCTTTTTCAATTCGTCGATGTCTAGGTCTGCTCTTTCTTCTCAGGTGTCATGCTGAAGATTGTTCACATAAAAGTAGAGAAACTGTTTTCTTGATGTAGAAATTCTATAGAATGCTGTATAGCATCGACTGCATTCCTGTTGGTTTGAAGGTGATGCACAAACTTCAGTAAATAACTGCAGATTCTCAACAACAGAGTGCACAGTGCTGGTGATGACAGATTCATTTTATACTTTTTTCTCAATACTTCACTAGTTCACATGTTATTTATGAAGTGTCCCTGCATATGCTATCTTTGTGAATGTTATTTCGATTACAAAATATTTGACATCAGCTGTCTATGAAACCAGAATTTGTGGGATGAAATTGGCGAGAGTGATACTGAAAGGGACAAGATGATATTACAGCTTGAGCAGGAGTGTCTTGACATATACAGGAGGAAAGTCGACCAAGCAAGAAAGCAGAAGACAGACTTGTGTCAGACGCTGGCAGAAGCCGAGGCTGAAGTATCCAGACTCATCCAGTCCCTTGGGGAACATGAATCATTCTCTAGGGTTGGTTTGACCACACTCAATGCTTTCTCTCTTTATTCTTAGCTTTGGTAATTAATGGATACTTGAATATTTTCTATTACATTTTTATCTTACCTTTAATTGAATTTTCTCTATAAAAATTTAATGTCTACTTAGTTGGAAAAACCAAAAGGAACTCTCAAAGAGCAGGTAGCCGTGATTATGCCTGCAGCGTTGGAACTGAGATCAAAGAGAGATGCAAGGTTGAGACAATTTTTAGATGTTCAGTCACACATATTTCAGATACATGGGGAACTAACAGGCACCCTTATCGGAAAATTTTCTTCTCATTTACTTGATGAGGAGGACTTGAGTCAAAGGAGATTGGGGGAGTTGAAGTCCAAACTTCAGGAGCTGCAGAAGGAAAAGGTTCTTGATTCTTTTTTTTTTTACCTAAAAATAGGTTATATTTTATTTTGAAAAGTGGGAAAATATCCTATTTACCTAAGACATAAAGTCTCTCTTCAGGTCATGCTTCCTTTTCTTTTCTTTTTTTGCAGAATCGTCGGTTGCAGGAAGTTAACAACTATATTAAAATGATTCATGAGACATCAAACGTGATGTCAGTTGATTTTAATAAAACTATTTGTGAAGTTCATCCAAGCTTCCTTGACATCAGACGTGACCAGTCTAAAAGCATTAGCAATGATACTCTTGCGAGATTCGATGGATCAATTCATTTTCTTATGAATGAGAAAAAACAGAGGCTGCAGAAGGTTTGAATGATGGCACACCGTAATTTTCCTCGTACTCGCTTTGAAGATGACTTAAGGAGGGTCTTCCTGTTAGGAGGCCGCTATATTTTACCTTCCTTGTAATTTTTGCGGAGATGAAATCTTCCAGTTTAAAGGAGCTATTTGAATGTCTATAATCTTGCTATTCAATCTAGAACGTAATACCTTACCTGAGTTTAGAGGGTTCTTTTCATGTTTCAAATTTGTTGAAGCTCATATGAATGCTATGTCCATCCTTTTTCTCTATAAATTGAAAGTTTGGTGTGAGAGTTTCTGTTGTCGTGCTTTGTTATATCTGGATTGTTGTGAATTTTGGTCTCTGCTACTGGTTTTTTTAGCCTCTGTATTTTCTCAAGAACTGTATGGACTATCAAAATCATGAACTATCTTGCTTCTTGACTATGACTTTTTTCTTTTTTGTTGATAAGTCATTTATCTATTTTTATCACTGCTTATTCGGGTGTAAACCCAGTTCGACTTAAGGCCAATTAAGATTAATCCTTTCAAAAAAATGCTTGTGCGATAACGAAAAGAACACATGAGTGGTCACGCACTTGAGAGGTGTAATCTGTATAAGTTGATCCACAGGGGAGAAGCTTATTTGATTTCTTTATTATCTTCCTTCTCCATCAAAATTTCATTTCTCTTTGTTATATTACGCACATGGGCTCTGGTTTTTGTGGCTATGTAAAACAACATTTAGGTGCCCGATTGAAATGACTTGGAAGATTAGTTACTGGAGTAAAAAGATGGTTCACGGCTCCAGCATTTTGATAGAAAGGGTCCTACATGAAATGGAATACTTAGGAGATTGTAAGATAATCAGTCAAAACAGCATGTGTTTTTCTCTTTTGGTCACAAGTTTGACTTCACTCGGCCGCCCTTTCAAGTTGATGGTCTAGTTTGCACCTTTAGGACTCGAGTTTGACTTCACCCGCCGGACCTTGTTACATACTTCGGAACAAGATATTTTTCTACTTGATGTTGCCCCCTCAATACTTATGGCCTCTGTCGTATAGTTTCGCATGAAACATAGTCCAGGTGTATTACGCCTCCAATTATGTATTTAACTTGCTGGAAAGTATTCATTTTTTATGCCTATTTTTGTTCATTTTTCTCTATATCATTTTCCTCGACTACCTTGAACTTTATAGAAATACCACGGATGCTTCTTCTATCATGTCGTTCTCTTTTACTCAGTTAGTTTCCATATACCGTCTCTGCACTTACTGAGTTACCGTTTATAAAAGTTTCACTGTTTTTTGGGTATTAGATCGAGTTAAGCATGTCAGTGATTTCTTTTAGATGTAGATGGAAATATGAATAAGGTATATTCAAATTCTATTTGCAGCTTCAAGATTTGGGTGGTACTCTCATTGAGTTATGGCACCTTATGGAGACACCTTTAGAAGAACAAAAAAAGTTTGAATTCGTAACCCGTTTACTATCTCTATCTGTTGACGAGGTACTTGATAAGGGATGCCTGTCAATGGGTGTGATTGAGCAGGTAGTTAACCGATTTTTATTACAAAATTTTTTTATGTTGGCTCTGTATTTTTTAAACAATCGGTTGTCAATTCATGTTCGACATTTTTCCTGACAGACTCAAACGGAAGTGGATAAGCTCAATGCCCTTAAATCTAGAAAAATGAAAGAGCTCATTTTGAAAAAGCAGCTTGAGCTTGAAGCAATATATAAAGGGGTTCACATTGATACTAATGGTGAAGAAACACGACAGGCACTTATTGATGTCATTGAATCTGGTTTGTCTTTGGTCTCATGACATTTATTTTTCTTTTTTCATTTCAATATTATATTTTGATCTATATTTTTGGAATGAAAATTCAGAACTGTGAATTCAATTGTGGTTTGGTGTTCATTAATGTTTCTGCATTAATGAACGATGGCCGTTTCTATTTTTCTGGCCAAAATACCAAGAGACTTTCTTCATTTAATCCTCCCTAGGTTTTCATATTAGCTGTCTTGGCATTTTAATTTAACGATTCATGTTCTCTATCAAAAGTTTCTTCTCGAACTCTGCTGTTCGTCAATACCAGTCCTGAATCTTATAACAGCATGTATGTGTTTAATTTCGAAGCAAATATTTTAATAATATTCTGTGTAATAAAATAAAGGTAGATTATTCTTTCTATATTTATTTTTACCGGCATTGAGACCTCTTGTTTCGGATACTTGGGCAATTGCGTCTGAAATACATCCCTTGGCCATTTAATGACCTGTGGTTTGAAATTGTCTTATAGGTAAACTTGATCTTTCAGAGCTCCTTCTAGGCATGGATGATCAGATTAAAAAGGCTATAGAGCAAGCTCTAAGCAGAAAGGAGATTTTGGATAAAGTGCAGAAATGGATATTTGCTTCCGAAGAAGAGCTCTGGCTTGATGATTATGAAAAGGTCAGTGAAGACGGGATTGTTCTAGAAATTTTCGTGATTATGTCTCAGTAATAGTTTACATCATTTTGTTTCACTTCTCTGAGAAATTCGTACTACATAGAAGTGTTAACGGTGTGCATAAATCAATAGATTTGTAAACACATTGTTTCATTGGAATTTTTAAGAGGGCGACGTTATTAGATTAGAGAAATAGATGTCTGTCAAATATGATAGATGGGTAAAATTTCTCATAACTTATAACTACGAGATAGAAATCCCCTAGTATTTTCCCATTTGAAGATTTTCTCTTTTGGCATGAAAAGTCAAAATCTATGTCAAGCGACTTAAATGCACCTGCTTTAAACATGTTTTTAGATATTCAAAATTCACCAAGAAATGTCTCAGGAGCCAACAAAACAAGTCTTTAATCAATCACAAGATAGTTCATACGGTGCTCCTAATCCCATTGACCTGCAATTGGATGGGATGTGGTGTAGCTCCAATTTTTAAGAAAAGGAAGTAGTTGGCTGTGACTGGCATAAATTTCATGTTTTGGTACTCCAGCCTGAAGTAAATTATTTAATTTGTGCTAGAGAATTTCAATCTTTATAAGAATCTATACAGATTCTCATGTCAGGTACTCTATATTTAGTTAACGGAAAGATACATTTTACCATTGAGCTCGAACTTTTTATGACGTTATGAGTAATTTTCTCATTCTGAGTAGAGATTCACTGGTTTTGCAGGATCAAAATCGCTATAATGCAGGCCGAGGAGCTCATAAAAATCTTAAGCGTGCGGAGAAAGCTCGAAAATTGGTCGGAAAAATACCATGTGAGTTTGTAATTTTCAACTTTATTACTGATTTTCCCAAAACAATAGCTTGTAGTGACCTTCACTGGATCGGAGAGGAATTATCTGGACGTGGGAAAAGCTAATGCAACCATCATCGTGATAAAATGGAGAGAATCAAGGATTCTTTTGGAAATGTGAATATTACTTAGAACTTAGACCTAAGATTTTTTTGGATCTTAGATTTATATTAAAAGCGAGCTTCACCCAGATGCAGAAGAATTAGCAAGACTTCTGAGTTAAATCTGTGACAGGCTTGTCTATACACTGCTCTATGAGATTACCATACTGTAGGCATTTTTTTTCCACCGTGGGTTCTGAATTTTATGTGTCTATAAGAGTTGCTTCTACGCTGGTAAGGAGAGAACATAGATGAAGGGAGATGACAGAATAACGAGAACATTACTGGAAAGAATCATCATATTTTGACCATTCTTCAATCCTCGTGTATTCTTAGAAGTCTTCTGTTGGAACCAGTGCCTGTTTACTGCTTGAGTACCTTATTTTCTGCAATGAAAATCCTTTACAAGTGATTATTCTCGGAGACTTCATGAGCGTGTCCTTTTATTTAAATGCATATATAAATCCACGAATGTCTTCACGCATCGGCAAAACTTTGATACGTTGACTTCCTGTTTCGTTATCTTGTGACGGCTAATACCCGAGGGCAGCCATTGTGGAGAGCTTGATGGGAAAGATCAAGGTCTGGGAGAAAGAAAGAACGTGCCTTTTCCTGTATGATAAGGTTTAGCCTCAAAGACGTTGCCCTCTCTTTCATAAACCTGCGTCATGAAGGTCATTTAATGGATGAATCCCTTTCTGTAGGAGAGGCTTCTGGACACCTTAGAGGAGTACGCTCTGATGAGGCATCAGAGAGAGGAGGACAAACGGCGATCAAGGGTGAGCTCCGCTGTTTATTTTCCTAACGTTTCCCTTTCTAGATTAGATTTTGACCTCTCTCTCTCTCTATCTATCTATCTATCTATCTATCTATCTATCTATCTATCTATCTATCTATCTATCTATCATCATCATCATCATCATCTCTTTCTCTCTTTCTTATTTTTAATGTTATAGTCTGTGAAGAAGGTGCTTTTGGTCTCCCCGTTTCTATTTAGGAGGAAAAGAAGCTGCAAGAGCAGCTCGTGGCGGAGCAGGAGATGCTGTTCGGCAGCAAACCCAGTCCGATGAGGCCGTTCTTGGGGAAGAAGCCGCTGGGCCAGAGCTCTAACGTCAACATGGCCGCCGGGACACCGATGGGCTGCCGCATCTCGACGCCGCTGGGCCGCCACGGCGGCGCCACCTCCTCCGGCAAGGCGAGAAAGCTGAGAGGAGGCGTCAAGTCGGCCGCGGCCGCGATCCCCGTGAACTACGTCGCGCTCCCCAAGGATGATTCCTTCTCTCACAACGCGTCGTCGGTTGCATCTCCTTAGATGATGCTGGACGGAGTCAAGAGACAGAGCGAGAGAGAGAGAGAGATTCTGTGTGCACCTGAAATACAGTGATTTCTGTTGAACTGTTACTTCGTCACATTCTTGGATGTGCGTGTGCGTGAGGGAGAGAGAGAGAGAGCCTACGAATCCGTCTCATATTTTAGTGTAATCAGCCAGGTATTTTGGGCCATGCATGGGATGTTTCCACGTGTAAGATTTGTTCTACAGAAGTGTCGAGACATTTATTTCTGACATTCACTTCTCCTATAACTGGTAACAGGTATGTAAGCTAGTTGATGGGTATAGAAGAAAGATCCAGAGATAAGCTGATGTTATTTATGTTAAATGAAATAACAGTTATCTATGATTTTTTATAGAATTAAACCGTCTAATGATTAATAACTAAACGCAAAAGATAATGCTATAATAGTTTTCCTAAATTTTAGTTCACATTCTACAATCAGCCCATACATTTAAACTCAAAATTCAATTATCCTAATTAATGTGTCTCTTTTACTATAAATTACTTCAATATTTTCTTGATTTTACAGTATTTATTAATATGGGCAGGCTAAATAATTGATGAATAAATACCAAAGTATATTGAGATAAATTAATGTTCGTGTTAAATAATCAAAGGATTTTTTATCCAAAAATGATCATCAATGATGACAGACAATAAAAGCTTACATTTTAACTACTCTACTAGATTATTTCTTTAAACGTGACCATATTGATCGAACTTAAATCAATTTCTCAAAATTTCCAAAAAATATATAGTCAAGCATTCAAAACCATCGATGGAAAAAATCGAAATTGTATAAAATAACACTATTTACATCAACTAAGAAAATAGTTTACATCAAACAAATCTTCAATGACCAAAATCAGCTCATATGTTATCATACGATTTGATGATCTCATTACGTAACTATTAATATGGTCTATTGAAATATTTCAACTTTTTATTAATATGGTCAATGCCATGTAACATAATGGGTCATAGCCTGGCAATTTTCTTACACGGTACATAATAAAATCATTAAATATATGATCAGTTAGCAATGGATTAGGTTAGATTCATAATTTTAAACACATGATTAAATAATCTTACTCATGGGCACAGTATCAAGACATAATAAAGATAATAGTAATGCACGTAAGTGAGATAGGGAGGGACATGGAATCCAGTGAGATAGAGAGGGCATGGAATTACCGAAAGTAGAATTTTTGAACGAAAGGGAATGGAATCCAGCGACACCCTGAAAAAAAGGTTTAAGCATAGAATTCTGCCACCTGTGGAGATGCTTTGGCGAGCTATCATGGTTAATCCCCAAATGTTCTATAGTCTGATAAACTGTTGACGTTTTGAGCTGAATTCCACAATATCCGGAGAGAATAGATAGATGCTATTAATCTCACAAGTTGAGACATCGGGGATCTCGTTAGCTGTTTCGACTGACACGTCTTCGACGTCTTATTAGAATCTGATGGATGCTGCCATGAAGAGAGATAGCGCGCGCGCGCGAGAGAGAGAGAGAGAGGTACCTTCTCTCACTCTAGAATTGCAGAAAGATCCACGGCACTTCAAGTTGTCCAACTTCAGAGAGCAGTAAGATATCGCAGAAACGGATGCAGATCGTTGATACTGAGATTCTCTTGCTGTGATTTAGAGAGAGAGTGAATAAGAGAGAGGGAGAATCGTTTAGACCATATGCTTAAAGCAACTGATTACGAATCCATGAATGTAACTCTTTATTTTTCCTTCGAGCTTGTCATCTGTGGCAAGAGGATGAAGAAGAATCACTCGCACCCATCAAGTGTTGTCTCGGAATCAAGAAACCGTGTCATCTGCTCAGCTTCACTAGTGCTCATTGGATGACGTCGTTCGTAGGGTGGGCCAGGGAATCCACTCGATTAAGAGATTCTTCAGGAACAATCTCATGAGGTCTGGAAGGGCCGGGTCCCCAGGGAATCTGATTCCTTCCGCTTTGTTTTCGTTAACACCGATACGATTCTCAACGAAGCTGGTGCCAAACTGAGTTTCTTGATATTTTAATTCCATCGATAGAAGCTAGAGACGATCAAGGAGGGGTTCAGAGATCAACGCCCAAACTTGAGGGCTTATCACGCCATCCAATGTCACGTGTAACGCTGGGAAGAGAGAGGGGGCGGGGGTGGAGTCAACGGCTGAGCCTGGCCTGGGCCACTTGAAGCTCAGACTCAACCCTGTAAACATGGACGAGACCGGGCCGAGCATCCGGGCTTACCCAGCAAGGTGGCACTCTCCTTGGAGAGCTGAGCTGACGAAGAGAAGATGGATTATCTGATGAAGAAGCCACTTGGTTCGGAGAATGAGTGGAATCTCACTAGGAAGTCCAGAGTCAGAAGCCACTGGGCCGCGTGTGCGAGGGGTTGGGGGGGATCCCCCGAGTCGTCACTGTTCACTATTCCATGAATAATGCATTTCAGGCGGATTCCAGGAATCTCTTGATGGATTAGAAAGGTCTTGATGCATTAAACAAAGGGAATATGATAGAGAGAAATCTGAGAAATCAACATCTCTCTCTCTCTCTCTCTCTCTCTCTCTCTCTCTCTCTCTCACGCTATACTAAACATAGGTCTGTATCGTTGGGCTACTTCATTGGCTTCACGGGCAGTTCAAGGACTTGCTTCCCCTCGTCTGCTCCAATGCTCATCATGACGTCATGGGCATCAGCTTCCGCGCCCTTCGTTGCCAAGGGGATGGGGCTCTGCTCTTTCTCCTGGCTTTCCTTGTATTTTCCCCACAGTACCGAGTAGAGACCCGCGACTATCAGGACTCCTCCCAGAATCCTGCACGTCAGAGACGCTCTGATTAGGTCTTGGTCCGAATGCTGAAGAGGATAAGTTGATAAAGGAATTACCCTCCCAAGTAGATCTTCTCTGCGAGGATAAAAGAGCCCATGATGGCCACAATGATCATCATCAGGGGGCTGAAGGCTGAGGCAAACACTGGACCCCTCCTCTGGATCACCAGCCCTTGCACGTAGTACGCGAGGCTCGATGTGACAATCCCCTGCGCGACAACGTGCAGTTAAAGTTTGCTTTTCATTAACAGTTAAAGTTGAGAGAGAGAGAGAGAGAGAGAGAGAAAGAGAGAGAGAGACTCACCGCGTAAGCAGCGGCTAGAAGATTCATGTCGAAGCCGATGACCCATGCAGAGGGCTTGTGTTCCATGACGAAGGTGACGGCAATGGCTTGTAGAGTGCCCACGAAGCATATCAACGTCGTGAGGGACAACTGAGCCGAGTACCTTTTCAGGGTGAACGCCTAACAATTGTGAACAAAAGCTAGTTTAGGCGTTTGAGGCTAGTGGAATCCTCGCTACTCCGTCTTTTTCCTTCTCTAGGTGGGCTTCCTCTTTCTTCCTTATTCTGAGTACCTGGATGATGAAGAGAGCAGCCCACGCCAAGGTGGCTATGATGAGGAAGATGGAGCCTTTCACCCAGTCCTTGTCTGCCGCCGCAACCTCCGCCGCGGAGCTCGCTGCCGCCTCGTGGACATTCTTCGACCACACCATCTCCACAATCGGTCCCTTGTAGAGGGTCATCAGCATGGCTCCCGCGACTGTCACCAGAGTACCCGCAACCTTCGCCTGGCACCTCACCCTTTTGATGTCCAACCTCTCCATCCTACTCACATCACAGGAAATTCTCTCTCATGATTTGAATTCCATTTTCTCAATGTGAGATTATTCTGACGCCTACCTGCAGAGGACAGCCATGACGAACGTCATGGCGGGTAGGATATTGCTCATGGCGCAGGAGAAGGTTGGGGAGGTGAACTTCAACCCGGCGTAGTAGAAGTTCTGGTCGATCACCGGCCTGCGAGAAGCGCACGAACTTTAAGCCATCGTCCTCACTAAATCTCGACCGAAACGGAATCTGGGGAAGAAATTGTGCTTACCCTAACATCGCTAAGACGAAGATCTGCATGAAGACCACGAAGGTCATCTTCGGCCTCACCTTCCTGTTAAGAAAGAGAAACCCATTACATGGAGGCCTTCAGGATGTCACTCGAGGTGGGGAAAGTTTAGGGACCTCTCGAGGAAGATGGCGAAGGGGGCGATGGAGAGGGTAGCGAAGGCGTGGCGGTAGACGACGAGGACATAGTGGCTCATGCCGCCGTTGAGAGACTTCTTGGTGATGATGTTCATACCGGCATAGCCGAACTGGAGAGATATCATGGCGATGTAGGGCTTGAGCCTCTGCATGAGGCTGCTGCTGCTCCCTTGACTCGCCATGGCTTCAGAGGTGAGAGAGCCGAAGGATAGCTGACAGCACTGATGAAGGAAGAGGAGGAGAGGGAGCACCGCTAGTGGCTGGTGTTTCTCCTAAGAAGGAAATAGCCAACCCACCCACATATTTATAGCTCTTGGTGGCTCCGCTCTCTCTCTCTCTCTCTCTCTCTCTCTCCCTCTCTCTCGCTCTCCGCTGGATTGAGCTTTACCCTTCCATCCCACGTGGGACTCCCTCCTCCTGAAGAGGCCTCACACACTTGGAGAGTTAGAAGCCTTGGACAACAGAAAGACCCATGCACGTCGAGAGAGAGAGAGAGAGAGTTGGGTTCCGACGTGTTGGCAACACTAGGAGTATCAAGTGTTGAGTGGCATGTAGGGTCTTGAACCATATACCTTGTCCTAGTGGGTAAGCGACTTGGGAGCCGCCGGGGGACACGCCAAGGGGAGCGGGTGCGAAGTGATGCCACGGTGAAGAGGCCCTCCCCGGCCCGTGGAGCTCGTCTTTCCCTCTCTGCAAGATGCACTCTTCACGACAAATTAAACATGGTCGTCCCCACAGGTTCCCATCAGCATCTGACTCGTGGTGGTGTAAGATTTTGAATATATTAGATAATTAACCGGGCTAACTATAAACAAATCGACACTGAGCCAGAATAACCGTTACATAGTCACTTTCTTTAATTTTGACATTAGCTTGTTATAAATTAACTCCTATTATCGACGAAAGCTTACCCTAGGCTGATGTTGAAGTCGCTAAATATGACCATATAAAGGCATATAAATTACCTGAGTAGGATTGTAACGATAATTTTTCTCATGCATGAGTCTATGAGAGAATTAGGTTTTTAATCTGAAAATCAGTCGACGGTAGGCAGAACGTGTACTTATATTTAACGCGAGAATCAATTAAACAATATATGATAAATCTTATCCAAACATTTTTCGAGTTGGTATTTCCACACTTAGAGAATCACCACCACCCCTTTCGTGATCCAAAGAAGAACCGTCATCGGAGGACCCTCAATGTAAGATGGGCTGGGTGTCCTTATGTATCATATGATACAATAAGGCCGTCTTTAATCCACTGAACGGAACCAAGATACCCATCGAGAACGTCATCACTTCACATCAAGGTTGGCACCTCTGATTCAGTGAGAAGATCGGTTGGGGATAGAAGGGTTTAGGCGTGGGGGAGGGAATGACGATTTGATATCTCATATTCGATATCAGCTGGCCTCTCAGCCACCTCTCCACACCCCCATTGGTTGCCCTGCGGGAATGTCTTCCGGAGAGTCGACTCGGAGTTGACGAATCTCCGACGATACTGCCTGGCCGCTGCTCTCCGTTCGCCGGAGGCCATGATGGCGGGGTACGATGACCGTTCAGGGGTGAACGCCTGGCGAGGGGCAGTAGGCAGTGAGCCACGTGGCATCGGTGCTCGTGGGATCCAGTTTAGAAAGGAAGCTTCGGCGGATCCGCCGCCTGATCGCCGGTATGGCTGAATTGTCGTTTTTGCCCTCGTAAGGGACGGGAGGATGCAATGGGCCCACATGACTCATTATCCCAGCTACCTCCCTGTTTGTCGTCATCTCGGGATGATGCAGAAACCACCTCACTCGGAGGGCCCAGAGGTACGCGAAAACCCTAAATAAACTCGTTAGGACATGGGTTGGAAAGACGTAGATAGGCAGATGGACAAAGAGGGCAGGGAGAGAGAGGGGGAGGGGACGGAGAGAGAGATAGAGAGAATTGTTGTTAATGTAAAGATTTACAGATAGCATAAACTATAGTCACGAATAATAATCATATTTTTTACATAAACGTAAAGGATGAACTCAGTGATGCCTTTCCGTGTTCCTTCCTGCGCTTTATGCATCCTTCTCTCCCTCACATAACGAACAGATTGACAGTTCCAGAGGAGGAAGGCACTCGAGGCATTCAGCTCCCTTCTAGGGCTGTCACAATGCCGTCCACCAAGGATCGAACCCTTCCCTTCAACTTTCTCTCTCTAGAATATTCTCCGTTCTCTCCCGTCTGTTAAGACTTCCTCCTCTGATTCACCATAGGAAAGGCTTGAAATCTTCGGGTCAAAGATTCGTTTCTCAGACTCAACGAAACCATGCAACTTTGTGTTCAATCAGGTTGCCACCCAAATCCCTTTGCTCCTTCCTTGTCCCCAGTTTCCTCAAACGTCTCCCCCTCTTTCCCATAGTGGAGAGTGCTTATAAAGCACGATAATTAGCGAAGGAAGAACAAAATAAAGAAGCCCATGGATCCCCAGGAAGAAAGGCGTGTGTCAGAAGGATTCTTTGTCATGTCTTTAGTCTTTCTCAATCCCTATTTGGAGATGATTACTTACCGGAGAGGGGACTTATTTCCTTAGAAATATATCCAACGGGTGATAAATATTATCCCCTCTCTCTCTCTCTACTTCCATGCATCAATGTCATTTATTTGGATTAATTTCTGGATAACCTTTTTTCCGTGTATTAATGGGTATTAAATGATAATTGAAGTCTGCGAAACAGAGAAAAAGAAACTCAATTCCACGTCTCTCCTCCACATCCAATGAAGGTGATCAAATCATGGCCCTTTTACCCAATTGGACTGGCCACTGTGACTGATTCAGTCTTTTACACCGCATTTCTTTTTTGCTCGTTCCAAAATGCTGATCTTATCATGCGAGGGGTAACAAATCATGATCAGGAGAAGTATTCTCTTGTGGCAAAATATTCGCAAAGAGAGGCTATCTCACACACAAGGGGCATCTCCGCCTAACTACTAAACTGGTGGGTGGGCGAAAAAATGGTAATATTATTTTGAATGATGCTTATACGATGCAAAGTTAACAAGGAACATAAATCTTTAGTGGGTAATTACTCTATGTGAAGGTATCTTTCCAAACAAGCACCAAAACCAAAGTGGAATCCACACATACATATTCCCCCAATCAGGCATCTGGGTTTTGGATAAACACGAGTTCTGCACTCGCTGGTGGATGATTAGCTCACTTAACAAATAGAAAAAGCCGAAGGAGGCGAGAGAGAGAGAGAGAGAGAGAGAGAGAGAGAGAGAGAGAGAGGAAGATGGGTAAGAACTTCTCTCACCTCCACCCGAGCACTTATCAAGAATCACAGATTACGTTCTTCTCGGATGCCCGCATCAGAAGTTTCATTAGGAATCCACAGACGGTCTCTACATCATGGATTCCATTTCTTCCTGACTAGCCATTGTGAATGGAATTAAAAACACCTTGCAATACCAGACCACTTGAAGGGTCCATCCGGAAAAAAACCTCAAAATTCTTCGACAGGCTTTACTGAGCAGTAAGTATTTCGGTCAATTCAAAATTACTTCACTCCCGTCGGATAGGCTTGTACTTACCACCTGGAAGAGAGGAAGCTTTAATATAATAATGATGTAATATTCACTAGGTCGTGCCTTTTTTAGGTCTGCGCAATATTCATACTAGGTCGAGAAGTCCCTCCCGCTCTTGTTCAATGGTCTCATCTTCTTGAATTCTGACTTTATTATTCTAATATATTTAGGTAAGTAACCATATGGCCAAGTGAAAAATATTGAAACTGAATTAATGAGGATGTCAATACAATTCGATCATTAAATATTCATCCACCAGATGCACAAAAAGTTGAGCTTTTTGGGGAGATCACAAAAGATTCTTGTGAGAATCAGCCTTAGTGAAGCTTTTACATTTAGTTACTCATTAAAAAATGGTTAAGTAGATTCTTTTGGTCAATGGCAGTGCCCTGCTCTAGCTATCTCACTGATGATATTTCCTTGTTTAGACATTTTTCTTGTGAGATGTGTAACATATTTATAGAACCTACTTAGATTATTGTTTGGGTTTTCTTTCCATCGATGACAAATGTTGGGAAAAATTACCACCATTTAAGCTGGTGTCTAATCAGGATTAACATTGATCTAGATGGAGGGTAGTGAATGTGATTCAACAATCTTACTTGATTTAGCTTGCTAGTGAATGCTAATTATCAAATGATCTTGGCCTATTTTTTCAGAACAATATAATCATCATTATTGGTCCAAAGGTGGGTTATATAGAAAATCAAGAGCAATGAATTGGTTCTTTAAAAAGAAAAATCTATTTTTTATATTTTTGGATGTTTCTCTTTATTCTATACTAAATTGACACAAACTAGGTTGAGTAGACACAATATGAGTTGAGTCAACACAAGCTAAGCTGGGTTAACATGGGCTAAGTTGACTTAACATAGACTAAGTCAAGTTGATACACTTAGATTGGCACAATGAATAGGAAGAGAAATTAACACCTGTATTTATAATGGTTCACCCTTCTGTGACCTACATTTATTTGCTAAGGGTCCTATCCTTGATTTCCACAATTATTGCTTAAAAACTATAAATGGCATTCACCAGATCAATAAATCACCTTACACGATACATTTCATTGGCCTCTCCTTTCATGCTAGATATTAAGGCACCATCTTGCCAATATTTCCTTTGTTACTACCATTCTCAAGAGTTTCTACACATACAAGACCAATAATATGTCATTTATAACCCAATCTTAAAACCTTCATTTTTGGGTATTTAATATTTGAGAGAGTTCTAGTGAGGTTATACTTGTAGTACAAATTGGACAAAATTCCTACAGAATTGTAAAACATTGATATGTCATTTATTTGTTCTTTGAAAGCTCTTGATTATTAAACTTCAAATCTTTTAGACTTGATTATTCAAATATTATCTGAGTAAATCATGGGTTGACTTGTGTAACACTTCATATAGTCAAATTGTTAGTTTAACTAGCTTTGACAAGGTTGCTTTGTAGATGTATCAATGTGAGGTTTTATGACTTTTTAAATCTTCTAATATGTCAAGATATACTACAGCTTGTTAGAGATATTCTTGAGTTTGTTAAATCATTTTGGGAAGACTTACAAGTCAGATATCTTAGAGATAATCTTCTTTTCTCTCTCGAGTGTTGTTATCTTTAGCTAGGTCCATATATTTCTCTCTCCTCGTCTTTCTTCGTATTGACCTTTTATTTGTCATCTATTTTCCATTCCACTTCAGGAGGGTTGACACATTTCTCCATTCTTTACTTTTGATTGGTCAACACACTTTCTTTGTCCTTAATTTTATTATTTATTTCTAAACCTAACCCTCTATCATGTATCTTTCCTAGTAATTCTTTTCATTGTATTATGCTTGAAAAAGAAAATCCAACAAAGAAGAGACAGGATATCATAATTTAGATCTTCACCATAATAGTAAGGCAAGGATAACATATTTATGGATAATTTTTATTTTTTATCTTTTTAACTTTTATATTTTCATGATTTATTTGAGTACATCAAAATACTTGAAAATTCGAATATAGTGCAAATTGTGATCCAAATTCAACACTTGTTCATTATGGAAACAAGTTGACACCTAATATTTATTTGCTATGTTATTTATGATTAGTAGAACTTAGAAAATGTGTGTTTAAAGAATGGAGTAGGCCTAGAGGACTGAATTACTAAATATTTTGTAGCTATTTTACCTTATTAATTTAACCATCTATAGAGAATTGCCTCGCCTAAGGTGTAACATCCTCTATTTGGTGCATTGACTCTATTTAATTTGACATTATTATAAAAAATGACCAATTCACCCTTCTCTTGGTTTGTTTCTAACATTACTGTAACTGATATAAATCATATTGAAAGATAGAATGAGAAGGGGTGTAGGAAAACTAGGTTGGAGGATATTGTGGATATCTCATTGAACGAATTCTATACAATGAGAAGTTGCATTTATCTAACCTTACCAATAGTGAATATCAGTACTCCCAACATGGATATAAATAAATTGAGTAAAAGATAGTTAGAAATCAGTAAGTATTCATCTCTATCAAGCCGTCATTCGATTTTTTATCACTAATTTTTTGTGTTTATAGAGACAAAAATTAAATTGTCAACATATTTAGCACTACTTTTTAATATCACAACTTACTGATCAAAGTAGAAGATAGAAAATGATACGAAAGTAACTATAATTAGGACAAACGAAGTCATCAACATCTTCAACACATCAACACAATTGCCTATAAGTTCAACATTTAAGCTTAGCTTTCAAACTGGCTTAAAATGTTTCAAGTTTGTCAATACAATTTTAAGTTCGCTAGGATTTTAGCTATGCTAAGTATTGAGTTTAAAGAGTCAAAAAGGACTAATTATCTATATAGAACACTATTGTGGGTAAAACATATAGAAAACCTGACTTTAGAGCCAAAGACATTTATGTTCAATCATGGGATAAAAAATGTTTCTTATGTGTAAAACAATGATATTTAATGTCAAGACTTTAGCATGATAAACTGAGAGTGGATACTTTTAAAGATACGAAGTGACATGTATATGACAAATATGAGGTCATTTTTTAGTGGTTGACTCAAGATGTTTGGTCAATTCTAATGAAAAATAGAAAATATTTCACCCACGAGTCAGCACAAATTGCAAGTTGACAGTTGAAGATGCAAATCGAGACCAAACATTGAAAAACGTCTACACGTGACAGGCTAAAAAGAGGAAAAAAATACAAGGGTGCCCACCCATAGAGAGAGAGTCAAAATTCCAAATTAGCTATAGAAGATAAAAGGGTAGAAAACTATAAATTTACAATTACCAGTTTGCCTGGAATGAAGTCATCATTCAGCCATTGAAGAAATAGCCCTTTGGAATGCCTGGTAGAGGATCTCTAGCTATACTATATATGAGAAGAAGATATTATCAGGCTTTTACGAAGACAGTCTCCAAAACCCAAGGAGCTCTTCTGTGGCCCAATCCAAGCTCTTTCTTTCAGAACAGCAGCATCAGTCATCCTGCACTCAGAACCCAAGGATTTATACGCATGTATATAAACTATACTTAAGCAAAAATTGTTCCGAATGGAAAAGCTTAATGTCTGGAGAAGAAGAGACTGATTCGCAAAGCCTATTATTGGGCATTGGTGAAACCGTAGCTGTAACTATATACATACGTCCTTCCCACTGGATATGAAAAGACTGAACAGAAAGAACACCCTGGTGCCTGATGAAGAAGAACCCAAATCAAACTGCAGAAGGAAGAAAAGTTTACTTTTTTTATGAGAAAGTAATCACGTCCATAAATTATCTAGTCAGCCTGGGTTCTAAGAAACCCGTTTCAGAGAGATAACGAATGCAAATAATAACCTAGAAGAGAAGCCCACCAAATACAAAGTCTTGAAAGAAATTAAAACTTTGGTAATATTATTACTCTAACCGTATTTTCAGAAAACAAATCTACAAATCGAAATGAGAAAGCAGGAACATGGTGTAGTTGGATAATATATGCAAGCAAGCATACCATTCAAGTGCCTCAAAAGGGTAAAAAGCAAAATACCCAAATAGAAAAGGAGGTGCAACTCCACCTGCACTTCCTATTTAGGAGTTCATGATAAATGATAAGGACAATGAATGCTGTTTGTTAGTAAAAAAACAAACCAGTAAATAGAGAAAAGAAAAACAGAAGAGGTGCAAAATGATGGTTTCGATGCTAACTCTATCTTCCCAGTTGAAATTCATGTCATTTGCTGTTGAATGTCAGGTTCTTGTGGTCGTGCGTGAACGAAGTCCTGCAGACGATAACGTTCACTAGAAGCTCGTATCATCAAATTAATGAAAACTAGTCGAATTTATCTTGGTATCGAGTATCATAAAAAATATGATGCTGCAGTTGATGTGGAAATCAATCTCAATTACTGAAAAACTTAGAAGGAAGAACAGAGGGATATCAGGATTATATGGGCATGAATTATTTTTATTTCCATTTCTGTACATTGTGTCTTTCACTGAAAGCATAAAAATATGAAACGGAACGCTAATCTTTTTAATTGTCAAGGAAATAAAATTTTTACTCTGAATATTAGTGCAGAAAATAATTCTCTTCATATGCTCTAAAATCTATCGAGCAGTTTAAACTCTGACGAGACTGAACAGAATTCCTACAGCAGTCGAGATTTCCATCTGACAACAAAGTCAAACTAAATATGACAGGCTTTTGTGGTCTAATTCAGCATTAAAAATTATTTCAATCGGCTGTCAAAGGCTCTAACATCAAGCTGCCCAACACAATCAGTAAAAAACACAAAAATTACCTTTACAAAGAAATTCTCCGAGTGGGCTCCCTATCATTCAGAGAAAGGACTTGTTCTCCCAAGATGAAAATACGGCTTGGGTCAGTTATGTTAGATTCCTAGCCCACCAAATTCATTTCATGCCCCCCCTGCTTCTAAAGAAAATGAGCACCAGAAGTCCTAATATCTACAGTTGGCATACCACAGTTTTGGTCCATCACTGGTGACATTATAAACTACCCCAGAAGTCGACCTCTCTGACAATAAGAATATTTATTGTAAGGAGATTACTTTTGACTCATGAAAATATATTAAATTATACCATAGGCTAGCCAATATGAAAATATATTTAAGATTTAAACAGAGTATAAAATTTTGATGAACGCTTACTGAGTCATAGCAAGCTAGAGAAAAACCCTACCAAATGCAGTTTTTTCATGAATACCATGAAAATAATGAATATATACATTGCATTGCAATGTATACTAGTCCATGACATTAACTAAGTTTATAGAAATTTGCATTTCAGAAAACAGTTGATCCAGAGTAGCCCTTTTAATTTTATTATTTGATGGAGGCATCATGTTCTTACACTGCTCATGAAGATAAATCAAATTTTTATATTCTTACTATCTACCACCACCACCACCATCACCTGCCTCTCAGAATAATTGAAGAAATGAGGGAACCAATTTCAGAAAATTTTCATTTCATCTTCATCCTTCATCTATTTCCTCCTTTGTTGTCTTGTTGATACAGAACACAGACTCAATATTTTTAGATTTTCTAAGTAGGACGACGCAACAGGCCTCAATATCCTTGGATAAGAAACATCCTACGCATATAAAATCGAAAGACTCAACATTTAATGAACCTCAACATTCTTATCTACACCGTCACCCTAAGGAAACCAAAAATGATCAAAATAGTTTCCCATTTATATATGATATACCCATTTATACAAGAATATGCAGACCAAAATAAGGAAATTAGCAATGGAAAGGTTAGAATTTACATCTCTATTCTTAACATGGTATGCCGATCATTCTTTTAAGTTCCATTACAACCTAAGCTATAATCTAACATTTCCAAAGAGGGTAATTCTCACAGGCAACGAACCAAAACCATGTTTGGGTGTTCTCCTCCGTGATAACACATCTTATTCAGCTTGAGAAGAGGATGAGACCAAGCTCCCGACTGCATCCATAGGCCTCACCGCCTCAGCGCCTGAATTCTGCCTGATATGGGCACCTGGGTCACTATGGATATCCACCCTAGCTGGTCGACAACATCCTTCCAAACCGGGCATGTTAACAGTCCACGCAGTGAAGTTTGGATCTGGATTACACTGGAAACCAGGATCGTCACATGGGTTCAGGAAAGGACTGCCCCCCATATCAGTGTCGATCTTCCCCCTGAGATCCACAAGAAGACCCCTCAACCTGACCACCTCGGCTTCAAGATCTTCCAGGGCCTGTAATTTTGCACTGAGCTGCTTGTTCAGAAGGCGCAGCTTCTTAGCTTCCTCTTCCAAGAATGCTGTGCGGGCCTTCTTCCTCTCCCTGTACTTCCTGACCGCCTCCCTGTTCCCTAGAAGCTTCCTTGGTTGCTTCCGCTTCGCCTCTCCTCCCGGTGCTCCAGCGGCGGGGGCGACGACTTGGGTGTGAGTATGGCGGCAGGTGTGAGTGTGCCCGGCGGCGCCGCTGCTAGGCGGGCTACAGGAGTGAGTATGAGAGCAAGCTCTGATGCTCCTCAGCAGGTCAGCAATCTCCAAGGGCAGGTCCTCGTCTCCACCCTCCATCCTCCGCCTTGCTCATTCAACTGAGGCCTCCCAACGCGGAGGTTGAAGCAAAAATTCGCAAAAGCTGCCTACTGTGGTCATTGAATGGAACACTGAAGAAACACCAAGATGGGGATGGGGATTTGCACGGAAGAGCAGGACTCAAGGCCGGGCTTAGACACTTCAGCCGCAGGAACATGTGAAGAAGGTATCTGTCTCTGTGGAGCAATAATCTGATGGAGAGCCTTGAATCTGGGCACCAACCGCCGCCGGGGAAGATCAAAGAAGAGAAGAACAGAGGAGAAATGTGGGCTTCTCTTCCTACGAAATTGGAGGACGACCCAGATCGAGGTTCCCCCAGAAGAGGGCAAAATCTTCGTCAGAGTCAAGACGCTGGAGGAAGAAGAGAGGACGAGAGGGAAAGGGCCAGAAGTGCTTCAGAGGGAGGAATCCGGGGTCCGAAAAAGAGGGGGGAAGGGGACAGAAACAGGGCACTCTCTGAACTTTCCCCACCTTTCCCCTTCCTTTTCTAAGATTTGTTAGGAGCCAGAGAAGCCAGAGAAAGTCGATGTGGGGACCCACGGAATTGACCAGAGAGGCCAGGGGAGGACGACGACGAACCCTAATTTCTTCCTCCGCAGTGTTACCCATGAGAGTACCTTTTCTTACGAAGACTTCCATCGGCTGCACCATAATTTCTTCCTTTTCTTATGAAAGAGATCTTCCTGACCCAGAATCTCACGCCATGAATGAATCCACTGCGTGCTCGTTCCGCTCTCAAGTAATTAACCGTCCCTGAAATCTTAAAAATCCCCACTTTTCCCGTCTTGGCCCGTCCTGTCAGCTCGACCGCACTGGACTGGTTCTTCCCACCAGGGTGGGTCGCTTCCACACCTCCATCTTCTTCCTCCTCAAACACCGCCCCCCCTCTGTGGGACACCGGTGAGGGGAGGGGGGGGGGGGCAGCGGAAGAGGAAGGAAGGTCAGCCTTCCTGTTCAGCCAGAGGCCCCCACCGGCTGGAATCCCTGAGGAAACGGGAATCTTCCATAAAAATCTCCTCGCAGGTCATGGGGCCGAGATTCTCCATTGAAAAATGGATAGGACGTCGTGGCCCACGAGTAAATACCGGTCAAGATATAATTTTGACCATTCTAGGGACATCCAACGGAAGATTCAGGAGACGGGCTTCCCCTACGATCTTGATCCTGTGTTCGTGGCGTGATTTACAGGTTCATCTCACCCGGGTACCTCGAAATGGTGCTGTCACCGCCGACTTCTCGGACAAAAACATTACATCTTTTTAATATTTAATTAGTTTCCGGTCCCCGTAAAGAGTCACCTTTAAGGGGAAGCCCCTCCTCCGTCTTCCTCTTATATGGCAGTGGGTCCTAATAAACCACCTCGGAAATAAAAATAAATATAATATCTTAATCACTTCCTATTCTATACTCTGTTAAATGTGAATAATTTAATTACATTTTAATCAGGTGAATTTTTTCAGAAAAGGTTAGGTCCCTCACATGAGCATCTAGGGGCTTTGCTGCCATGTACGTGCCAATGATGCCACCGTTTTAAGAAGTCCCTCTCTCACCCTTTTTAAGATCTTCAAAATTTTGTGCACTTCGCCCTACGATGAGTATAATTGGAGCCAAAGTTTTTGTTGTATTTGATTATGATTTCTCTTTTTGCATTGTAATTTTTTCTCTAAGTAGAAGAGCATAGAACATCTGAAGTTAGATGAATTTCCTAAACTTACTATTAATTATGTTTGATGTTGATCTTACTTGCAACCTTTTCTTCATTTAGAAATCAAGTAGTGTGTGGGGCTACTTATTGAAAAGAATGTTTTTCTAATTTGTTTATGTATGAACATATTTTTCACTTTCTTTTATTATGCACAACTTTTCATAGAGATCTAAAGGATGTAAAAATGATAACTTGGTTTGATTCTCAAAATCAATGTTCTATCTTCAAGTTATCTGCTAGAGAAAATAATAATTTTTTTTTAGGAGTGTTTATATAAAATACTTGTCTATCCTATTAGTGTACTAGTTTTTTGTGAAATCACAAATGTATTTAAAGAGTTGTGTTACTTAATCAAATTTTCCTTGGGAAAATGTGTTCTTGAAAATTCTGAATCATTTTATGACTTTTAAGTATTAACTAGCATGGATATATATGATTAGGAGTGATTAGTATATCATGTTAATTAGGATATTTGTTATCAGCATTATATCCCCAATGAGGATTTTAATACTTTATATTCATCTGTTAATTAATTACGACCACTATGAGGGTATTATCCTATGTAAGGAACTAAAATTGGAAGGTATTTGTAATTTTGAGGTTAATGTTAAAGGAACCATCATGAAAGAGAAAAATGATAAGGGACTTGTACTTAATATTTGACAGTTTAGGGTAGTAAGGGTAAGATAAATCGCAATTGAGGACATGTGTGGCTAGTAGTACACTAAAATAGTAGCAGAAAAAGCATTGAATTTTGAAACAACTGGTAAATATCTAATAGAAAAATGGCTGCCTTTATGCATTTTTAAATGATAAATATATAATTAACATTATATTTAAATATCTAAAACTTATATTGTTCATGTGTCATCAGTCGCAAAATATTTATTACTTCCTCTTTAAATACTTTAAACTCGATTAAAATTACTAGATTGACTCAATCACTAGAGGTCTCAGATTGACTCATTTTCACGTCAGAGAACGGGCCAAGCTAAATCGTCAACCCATGATTCACGCATTTCCAGCGATATTTCCCCGGCATCTACCCGCTGGAGAAAGCTACTAGCCGTCAAACTAACCTCATAACCTAAACATGGGAAGATATATCCTCCCACTTAAAGAAATTCGTCCAAGCTAAGTAAAAGTGCTTGCATGCATACCCCTAATTGAACTACTCGTGGGCCTACTTACAGACGGCGGCGGGAGAGATACTCCAGAGAGCTCTCCGCCGTGGCAGGTCTTGCTACAGGCCGCGGGGATCAGAGCTTGTCGCGGAGATATGCCGCGAGGGCGTCCACCGGCTTCTCCGTCTGGTTCCCGTCGAGCTCCCCTCTATCCCGGCGGCGCCTGACCTTTATCCGGGCGAGGTAGTCGGCGGCGATCCACGGGAAGCTGAGCCTGAGCGCGGCTGCGGCGCCGGGTTCCCTCATCTGGCGGGCCTTCTCGACCCATTCGGGGTGGTAGGCCACCTGGTACCACGCCGAGGCCTTGACCTCGTACAGTCGGCCGGCGTCGTCCTCTCCGGCTCCGGCAACCTCGGCGGCGGCGGCGGCGGCGGCGGCAGCGGCACTGCCGAGATCCTCGAAGACCCGCCGGAATTCTCGCCGGAGCTCGGAGTAGGCGCTCTTGAGGCGCTCCTTGGACTCCCTCTCCCTGCGGTTGTCGGCAGCCCTCGGCAGCGACCAGATGTGGCCGGTGGCGAGCTCCCCCTCATGGGCCACGCCGTACTGCCCCAGCAGGGCGTTCAGCTGAGCGTCGTAGCTGCGCTTGGCGCTCCACGCCTCCGGCAGCAGCGCCGCCGCGCCATCCACGGCGAGGTCGCCGTCGTAGGTCGGCATGGCAGCGGCGGTGGCGGCGCCGCCTTCTTCTCCGGCGAGCGACGAAGGATTGTCTTCTCGGTCTAGGAAGCTGCGCATCTTGCGGTAGAGAATGCCGAGAATCTTCTCGGAGCAGTAGGAGAGGTGGTGGGGCTTCTCCATGAAGTCCGGGTAGAGCTTGGGGCGGAGCTCCCGGGGCATGGTGACGACCTTGCCTGTCTTGGGGAAGTCAACGGCCTGCGCCGCCAGCTCCGCTAGCTGGAGGCACTTCTCGTCCATGGCGCCGACGGGGCTCCGGTCGGCGTGCACCACGTGGGCGTGGCAGATCTGCCCCAGGTTCTCGTTTACCATGCTCTTCAGGAAGAAGTCCACGATGTCCTGCGACAACAGCAGAGTTGCAGAAAACCCTAGAAGAAGAGGAAGAAGAGGAAGAAGAGGAAGAAGAAGAAACCCTATAAGGGGGAGGAGCTGCTTACCTGTGAGGAGACCTTGCAGGGGTGTATCTTGACCTTGGCGGGGGTGTAGTCCATGGGGGACCAACTCCGGCGAGCGGGGGGGACAAGGTCATTGTCCCAGGTGACGAAGTAGAGGTCGCCATCGAGGTCGCTGCCGGAGGCCTCGTTGCAGTGCGGCCGCTCGCCCTTCTGCGGGAAGACCAGGCAGTCCACGAGGTGCCGCAGGCCGGGGGCGTCCACGGCCTCCAAAACCCTGATGTCTCCCGGGTGGAGGCACGGGTTCTTGGCGACGGCGACGGTGCCGGTGATCACCCTCCGGGGGGCGGCGGCGGCGGCACCGGAGAACCGCCGGCCGTGCCTGGAGAAGAACTTCTCCAGGGAAGGGGATGACGACTGGATGAAGCACTGGCCGTGCTCGAGCACGCCGAGCTCGTCGAGGCAGCCCATCAGCCACCGCCCGCGGGGCACGAAGATCCTCGTCTTCCTCAAGAGGTCCCGCAGCTGCGCCGAGCGGACGCAGGAGAGCATCGCCTTCAGATGGGGCTCCGTTTGCGGTCTGAAACCCGCTCCGAGCATAACCGCCGCAAGGGTCCCCTGCTCGCCGCTGGAGGAGGTGAGGAGCTCCATCGCTGCCGCCGGGTCCACCAGCATCTCGTCCAGGCGGCGGACCATCGCCGCCTGCATCTCGTCGAAGACCTGGTCTGTGACGCCGAGGCAGGAGAGGAGGGTGACGATCTCCCTGTTGAGGAAGCCCGGCTGGAACTTAGTCCAGGAGGCGACCTCGATGACGGCGTGGGAGGACTCGAACTTCCTCATGCTCGGCCGCAGGGAGAGACGGTACTCACCGGCGGCGCCGCCGGCCGGCCAAACGGCGATGACGCCCTTGCAGCCGCCGTATCTGATCTGGTAGGCGGAGGGGGGATCTTCGGCGAGCTGGAGCTTCTGGGCGACCTCCATGGCGAGCTCCGGGGAGACCTTGCCGATGCCGTCGGAGAAGACGTAGCCGTTACCCTCGATCTCCTCGAAGCAGGGGTCAACCTCCGCCGGCGGAACGGCGACGGTGGCGTAGGTGGAGGAGAAGCACTGGCCCATCCTGGCGGCGAACTTGGCGACGTTCCGGTCGGGGAACCTGCCCATCCAGGACCTGATGGAGAGGACGCTGTGCTCGCCGTCGCCGGCGAAGAACCAGGCTGATCTGTCTCTCAGCTGGTTGGAGGAGAAGGCCAGGAAGCTGTACGTCCTCCCACAGATGCTGAAACCCTCGGTGAGGATCGTCCTCAACCTCTTGAAGATGGCCGTCTTCTGGGGGGAGAACTTCCTGGTGAGGTCGCCGACAATGGCGGCCGGGTAGTAGGTGAGCACGCCACTGCTCAGCCGCCGCATTCCCTCGTCCGTGAAGGTCACCCGCAGGAACCTGTCGGCGACGGCGCTGTAATGGCGGAGGACCCGGTTGGAGAGCTCCAGCTCCGGCGGGAGGCAGTAGGCCCTCGTCGGAGTGATGACCAGCCGCCTCATCTCGACGGTCTCCCCGGCGCCCTGGGGGCTCCGGCGGAGCTTGGGGTTCCTCCGTAGCCAGTCCCGAACGAGCTTCAGCCTCTCGGCGGAGTCGAACACCGGCTGCTTCGACGAGCAGAGCCGCTTCAGAGCCGCCTCCGTCAGGGCGGCCGCGGCGCCGTCGTCGTCGTCGTCGGTCCTCAGCAGGGCGAAGAAATCCTCCGACAGCCGGTGCTGGTTCAGGATGCCCTTGTGAACCAGAGCGTTCACCAGGAACATGATCCCGAAGCCCACGCCGGCGACCGGCGGGACCGAGAAAAAGAGTTCCGACGAGGGGGCGGCAGAGCCGACGGAGGAGGGTTCTCGCCTGACGGCGAGCTGCCAGTCGAGGTCACGCACGGTGACCCCCTGCTCCGTCAGGTATGCCGCCGCCTTCTTCAGCTTCGCCCCGTAGCGAGGGGAGAAAGAAAGCCTGTAGCAGCCGCAGCGACCGGCGGCGCCACCGAGGGTGAAGTCCGTCGTCCTGATCCAGGGGTCGTCGTCGTCCAGCAGGTTCACCGGCTCCGAGCAGAACACGTCATCGTCGGCCGTCCTGTAAAAAACCAACGGGGAGCAGGCCAGCCGGAGGAAGACGACGATGGAGGAGGAGTCGCTGTAGAATCTGACCTCCTCCATCTCCCTCACTGAGAACTCCAGCTTCAGGTCGCACCTGAGCATGGCTTTCTCTCTCTTCCCCTTGAGAGAGAATACGACGTCCTTGGGGAAAAGCAGCCGGCAGCGGGCGTCGAAGGGGTCAACCACGAAGTCAACGCCGGAGTCAGGGCCCTCCCAGGCGAACCAGAGCTCGTGGGTGCCGGCGAGGGTCCCCATTTTCAGGCCGGCGGCGGGGAACTTGAAGGGGTCCGCCGTCCGCCGGCGGCGAAACAGTAGGCCGCTGTCGGCGACGGACCTGACCATGAGGCTACGGCCGTTGAGCACCAGCCCCCTCTCGTCGGCGACTCTGATGGCCCTGGCGGCGCCGTCGGAGACGACGAAGTGCACGAAGGCGTGCGGCGCCACCTTCTCGTAGTCCTCCTTCCACAGGGCGGCGGCGGTGCCGGTGTCAGCGATGGCGGCGCTGCTGAAGTCGGGGTAGGACTCCGGCGGGGTGGCGAGAGTCTTCAGCCGGCACCGCCATACGAGGCCCACCTCGTGCTCCAGAAACTCCGCCAGCTCCATGGCAGAGACCTTCTCGTCGAATCCTCCGACGCTGACCTGGGTGACCACCGATTCACCCCTCCTGAATCCCAGAGACCCCATTTCGATCTGATGGAGGGAGGTTTCTTCTTGATTCACAGAGCTTCGATTCCCCCAAGAACAGACAGACAATAATCATCTAATTCAACATTCAAATAGTTTTCAATTTTTTTAGAAAAAACAAGCCGAGGAAAGCACGGAGTTGAGTATTGAACCAGTGGAGTGAAAACAGCATCATCAGAGGCGATGAACATCACCAAATCTGAATCTGCACATCCAGTCCATATGTATATAAACATATCGTGATGATTATATGCGTCAAATCAGTTAAAAAAAGGTGGGAGGAAAATGGGTATATGGAGGGCAGATTTGCAGAAAACTAGATGGATCAGATGCCATTCCAGTGGAGGATCGTTCCACTCTTTTTCCTCAATGTTATCAAGAAATAATCACATGTTGGTTGGAAACTCTCCTCGTGAAGATTCGGATGATCACAAGATTCGGATGATCACATGCGGAAAACGTCTCGCCACCCGGAGGTTTTGGCCGGGAACGACGCCGTCGCAGAAGAACACCTGAGAATGGGAGCCCTCGCTGAGAATCCCGTCCACCCGGAGGATCCCATCCTCCCGATCCTTGAAGGAATCAGCCAGGAGGAAGATGAATAAGAGCGACTGTATCCACAGAAGCTCTCCCCCTCCCTCTCCGGCGGAATATTGTTCCTTCGCGATTGAACTACTGAAATCTGGCGCGGATGGGAGCGAGAAGAGCAAGGGCGATCCAAGAAAACGGAAACGACTCAACGGCAGAGGAAATCGAAGAGGAAGAGGACGAGCAAGAGGGGGACTCACAGGGCGGAGAGCCGGTCATCGGCATTGCCTCTGCGTGCTCTTACTTCTGGCCTTCCTCTCTCCGCCGCCGACGCGGCGCTCCGCCCTCGGGCAATCGCCGGCGGGAACCCGAGGCTGCTTAAAGTGGGGATCAAGGCGTTAAAGGCAGAGGCGTTTTGAACTTCTGCAAAGTTCTGCAGTGCGCCTCTCCCTCTCTCTTCGTTAGCCCCGCCGGCGATGAGCTCATAGGAGCGCCGCCGACGCCGCCGGGGAGGACGGAAAGGCGGACACACTCGATTAGTGAGTGAGAGAGATTGATAACCTCCATGGGGGAGAATTTTATAAAATTTATAAAAGTAACCTTTTATGTACGGTTCTGTATGTTCTGATAATATACTCTAAACTATGTATTTACGTGAAATATCCCGACACGCCACTTGCCCTCTACCAGGCGACGGCGAAATATTAAAAAAACATTTTCAACCAGTAGGTCATTTCTTAAATATCGCAGCTATCATACACAAACCTTTTCCCTATTCTTGAATATTTTACGATAAATAATTCACCGCAAGATTGTAGAAAATAATTAACGGCCGCGGCGGCTTCCACACCCTTTCTCCGTCCTTCATGGGCGGCGCTTCGCTGAGCGCAGGGCCTAGCTCCGGCCGCCGGTGGCGGCGACGGCGGCGGCGGAGACCGGCTTGCTCAGCTTGGCGAGGCCCTCAACGAGGCTCCGCTCCTCGTCGGTCAGCCGCTTGGGGATCTCCACCTGAATGAGCACCAGCTGATCCCCCCTCGCCTTTGGCCGGCGGAGGAAGGGGACCCCCTTCTTCGACATCACCAGAGTGGCCCCCGGCTGTGTGCCCGCCGGCACCTGCAGCTCCGCCGGCCCGTCCACCGTTGGCACCTCCACCGTCGTGCCGAGGATGGCGTCGACATAGGAGACCTTGCAGGTGTGTAGCACGCTCGTCCCCTCTCGCCGCAGCACCGGGTCGGCGATCACCTCGATGAAGACGTAGAGGTCCCCCCGCCCGCCGCCTCTCCTGCCGGCGTTGCCCTCCGCCTGGACCCGCAGCCGGCTGCCGGAGTCCACCCCGGCGGGGACCTTGAGGCCCATCCGCTTTGCCTTCCTCTGCAGCCCGTCGCCGCCGCAGGTGCCGCAGGGGACGAACGCCTCCCCGGCACCGCTGCAGGCGGGGCAGGCAATCACCTGCTGGAAGATGCCCAGCGGCGTCCGCACGGAGGAGACCACCTGGCCTTGGCCGGCGCAGGTGGCGCAGGGCTTCGGCTTGCTGCCGGGCTTCGCCCCCGAGCCCTTGCAGGCGCCGCAGGTCTCGAGGCGGGTGACCTCGATCTCCCTCTCCACGCCGAACACTGCCTCTTTGAAGCTGAGGGAGAGGCTGTAGGCCTCGTCCTCCCCTCGCACGGGCCTCTTCCTCGCGCCGCCTCTGCCTCCTCTCGTTCCGCCCATTCCTCCCATTCCCTCAAACAATGTCTCGAACAGATCGAAGGCGCTCCCAAAGTCCTGCAGAATCAGAAGGAAAACGTCCCGGATCAAGATATAATTTTCATCTGCAACTGATTGATGATCAACGATACTTCATACGGATAAATAAATATATTTGTGGCCTTTACCCCCATGTCCATGCCAGAACTTCTCAACCCAGCTTCGCCGTACTGGTCGTACAAAGATCGCTTCTCCGGGTCTGATAATACCTGAGAGGTTGGTGTAGGATCGGTGTGAGATGGATCCAAGCTCGGGGGAAAGGAGGGGTGAAGGAGGGAAGGAGAGGGAGAGAGACCAAACCTCATAGGCGTTGCTGATGTCCTTGAATTTCTGTTCAGCTCCAGAGTCTCTGAGGCAGGATGTAAACAAAGACAGTCACCGGCTAATCACAATGTTTTGGCCCACCAGATTATGAGGGGAAATTCTGCATTTCAACCTAGGGAACGAAATAAAATGGATGAAAAGAGTGCTACAATGGGTTCACATCTGGGTGATAACATGCTGAGGAGAGATTAACATGACATGCTGGAGAGAGTGAAGCAGCGAACTTACTTGTTCACATCTGGGTGATAACTCCTAGCAAGTTTCCGATAAGCTACAGATGATGGAACAACACGAGCGTGTAAACGAAATTAATTGGCCGTGCCGATTGAATTCCACATAAAGAAAACTGATGTCGCGCATACTATAATTCATTTTGTTCGATCATCTACTGGTCCGGAAATTAAGTAATCTACAGAACATAATATCATAGTACCTACGGGTTTCCCCCAATTTAGAAACCGAGAAGTGGAGAAGGTGATACACAAGAGGCGAGTTTCTTTGATGGAAACCATCCAACACAAGGGGAATTACAGCACAATCTCAGATCAAAATGCACAAAGATTTCAAAACCTCAGAAATGTGGGAGCAGTTTCAGTCCCCAGGAATGATGATGACTCTAGTTTTCTTCAAAACGAAAAAAAAAAAAACATAAAGTTTTGCACTACTGTGTCCGAAACTAAAATAAAAAAGTCAAAGGCTAATAATCAGAGAAGAGCAAAGTCTCAGCATGAACATATAAGACAAGTCAACGTCTAGGAAAGTCACCAGTTTTGATTTCAGATTTGCTGGCTTTTTTTGAGACACCAAGGGCTGAGTAGTAATCCTGTGCACGATAAGAAAACTTAAGATTCGTAGACTCGACAAATGGATAATTTACTTTACGGCACTTCAGTAAAACATGGCATCATCCAGTGTATTTCATTGAAAAAAACTTAATTTGTTAAATCATACTCACGACTTCAGCTCTAACAAGAAAGCCTGATCCTCTACGATGATGAAAAACATTCGAATATCTAAAATTAGGAAGACCAAATGAAATGCTCTGTCCAAGGATGCTTGTAGAAGATGAACCCAAATATGTTGCTTCCACTGAAAGACTGCAAAAGTAAGCCAATATAATGGATAATTGGCTATTTCAGAATTTTTGAAACAGACAGAAAAAGAGCAATGTAAGTGAAAGATAAACACCAACAGCATAGCATAAGAAAACAGTAACAGAAATGAGGGGAAAAAATATAAACATTAATGTAGACATTAGAACTGAACAAGTGGAAAGGAAAAATAAGATCGGCACGAATGCAAACAGAAACCAGATGTAAATATGCCTTTATGTCAGGTGGAAGGTTTGTAGCATAGAAGGCCACCAAACAAAACATTCTTACTCGGTCCACTATAGAGGCCGTGTTGACTGCACTAGATATGGCTGACAGAGGAGCAGAATAGTTCAATAACTTTTTGGCTGAACTTCCCTTGCCCATAGAGCCAATCCTTGTCATTGATCTTCTAAGTGATAGCAAATCTGCAATCGCTAAGGCTAATAGTGAAAAGCTTAATAATAAAATCATTATTAATCTAAAATAAAAATAAAGAATTTCATATGGGAGTTCTATCGCTGAAATATGCGAACTAAAAAAGAATCTTGCTGTTTCTAAAATAATCTGGAAAGTTTCCTCCAGATCCAACATGGGGATTAAGCTATTCTTAATAGCAAATCCAAGGAAGTAAACTCCAGAAAAAGCAAGTTCCTCAAGTAGTCGTATAGGAGCACCATAAGGACATATACACTCTCTATAGATTGGGAAGGAATGACATGTGTGTGTATATATATCTACATATATATATATACACATATATATACATATATAATTAATTAGCATAGAGGCCAAAACAGGGTTTGTTTTACGTCATTTTATAAGGCATGCAACCTATGCAATTTTTGACTTATTTTCTTAGCATTCATTAGACTAGATGTTGTCGCAACACTATCCTCTGAGAACACTACCACTGGCAGCAAAACATGGTACCTTGAAAGTTGACACAACTAATACAATCGTTCAGCTCCAAGGTCTTGCTTCTTTGGATCCGTACATTGGAAGACATAAAGTTCAAAACTGAATGGCCCCTTTCCATATGTATAGTGTCAAGTATTTCTTTTTCTTATTGACATAAACTTAGAAGAAAACATTTGAATGAAGTCATCAGTATCTTTTTAAATGATACTTCTCTTTTAATACAAGATTGGAAATCAACTAAAAGTCGCTCTCATTTTAAAATGGAGGCACTTCTTGAAGCTTTCGGCTCATTTTAGGAGACATCGTCGAATTGGGGCCCATGCACCACATCTGTTCAAGCTCCGCATGTTCAGACAGCTCATCTAAACCGAACTGAGCTGGTTCAGGCATGGACCGGGGAATGCCAAGGACTGGCCGTCAAATAATTTTATAATATTTCAGAGGGTCTGTTTCATGGTTCTGAACTACCAACAGAAGTGAATTTGTGTCGCCAAATGTCACCAAAAGCCATGATACACGATTTCTCACATTTTCTGGTGGAATTGCACAACATATGTTCTTCGACAGGAGCACTTCTGTCTACTTTTGGAAAGAATTCTACCTAGAAGATGCAAAAGTTTCCTTCCAAGGTCCAAACCCAAAACCTGGGAAGCTACAACACAACATGAACCTTGAGGAAGCCGTGACAATGCTTTCTATCTGCCTTCGATTTGAGGCACACAATTGTTATACACTTGAAAGGGAACACTGTACATTTGGGGTTGATTTCCAGAAACCTAACACACCTGAGAAGAAACGAAATCTAATCTTTTGCATCTTTTGTTGGTTTCTCTCATCTTTTGTGATCAAGCCAAAATAAAAGCAAGAATTCAGGATTCATGATCAAGAAACACGGGGATGTAATCGCAACAGAATTTACCGGAAAAAACGATTTTCGGGGTTTGTTTCTAGACGTTTATCTTGATCAACACAGGTACAAGCACTGAATACCAAGACTACAAGAAAAAAATTGAAGAATATAGCAGACATTGTACATAATATTTTGCAAATTTAAAGTAGTTATAAAGTAGACAGTTTGTGAATTTCCGAACAAAGCTGTAAGATAGCAACATTTACAATAGCAAAAGAAACATAGGCTATTATGTACTACAACAAACATAGGTATATGATACCCCATCCACGAGAGAAATAGTGTTAAGCTTTTGGAAAGGATATCGTGCTGAGCTAAGGTCTTACCCGTGATGAGACGTCAAATATGCCTTACAGTAATAACAGTCTACAGCCCGTGGATATAACAACATCGGCATGAGCTGAGACCGAACTCCCCAATGAGACACCAACGAACTTCCGCATGACAGAAACGCCATACAAGTTATTCCACGGAAGAAAACTATCGAAATATCTGCAAAATAAACTACCAGAGCAATCAAGAAGACGGGACACAGTTTCTACTTGAAACTTGAATAATTAAAAAAAATTAAGGCATCAAATATTCCCAATCCAACACTCTTCACAAACCATAGCAATAGACAGCTAAAGTCGGAGAAAAATACATCCCAAAAGAATAACGACGAAAATTTAAGCGGCTCAGATATAGACAAAAAAAGGGAAGGAGTGGTGGAGAACGAGAGCGAAGAAATGAGCGATAGATAGAGGACAGGAGAAGGCAGAAACGAAACGAGCCGTCGAAGAGATTAGAGGAAAGAAACGGAAGCTGCCGAAGGCGTGCACCCTAAAAGAGACTACCACCACCGCCGCTGCCGCCGAGCTGAATCGATTGGAGGAAGCGGCAGGAGAGAGTGGAGGAGGGAAATCCTCCGAAGCTGGGGAATGCGCGGGGGCCAGTATATATTTTTCAAGTGGGCCCGGCCCAAACCGGTCGGAAGCTGGACCGGAATTGGCCCGATCCGGTTCACGACTGAGCTTCGGTGGGGTCGGGCCCTCTTTTGAGCTCTTTTCGAGCTTTTCCTCCTGTACCAATTTAAAAAATAATTATATTTTTAATATTCCAATATGACTGCTATTTTAGCGGAGGGTAGTTGGATAACTAATATCCAATGCGAAGGTTAACAAACATAATATAAAAATAAGGTTTTTACGGGGATATATTTATAAAATACCAATACTTATAAATATATGGAGGAGAGAGAAGGAGAGGTCCCCTTTCCGTCGCCCCAATCCTCTTCTCCTTACTTCCCGCTAAAAACCCTAAATCTTCTCTTCCGCCTGTACAGACCGCCTCGCCCGAGCGATCCCGAGCAGTCCCGCCCTGCGCCGCGACAGGAAGCGGTCCGCGGACTCTTTGAGCTCGTCTTTCTCTCTCATCCTCAGGTCAGCCTCCGCCGCCGCTCTTGGGAACGAGTTGTCTCTGCTCTCGCGTCGATCTGTGTGTTTGAAGGGACCCCTTCTCTCTCCCCTTCTCTTGAGTTCCATGTCGGAATTTTGCGGCTACCGTTTCGGCGCTTTCTTGTTGTACTCGAGTAGGGTTGAATTTCGCGGGATCGCTTCGTAGTCGAGGTGATCTGGTCGTGTTTCGAATTAGTAAGGATATGTTAGAGGCAGAGATTCGCGCTTTGGCTCCCCTTGCTGGTGACTCGTCGGTGACTGGGGCCTGGTTTTTGTCGCCGTGGTTTCGAGAAGGCAGGGATCCGAGTGCGTGGGGAAATATTGGTACGTGAAAATGTATCTCGGGTGCTGAGCTTGTGATCACCCATGACTTCTGTGTACCACTAGTGCCAGAAAGGCTTTTGGTGGTCTTATTGGCGCATACCACGGTGGGGTCTTCGACTGGGGTGAAGTCGTAACAAGGTAGCCGTAGGGGAACCTGTGGCTGGATTGAATCCTGAGCGATGGAAAATTGGTCTATGGGCGGAGATTCTTATTTATCTGTCGCTGATGGAGGTGTGTCTAGAGAATAATGAGGATGGAGTGTGAGCTCAAGTTAGTTGGAGTCCATGCTCTCCGTTTCAGAATGTTAACGATTTGGTGCTTGGCTTATTAGTGTGCTCCTATACGATTGATGGTCACTGGCCATATATTCTTCTAGGACTTTGGAGATGTGGTGCAGTTTTCTGCGCTTCTGAATGATCAAACCTGGTTGCCAGTTATCAGGTTGATAGGCAGTCTGTATGTTCGTCGTTTCCTATGCTTCATGAAGCTTTTAATGCTTATACTTCATAGATTAACAACGTTATCTCTCACTTTGTTCCGTTTCTCGTGCACGTTTGTTTGAGATAATTCTTCATCTTCTCACTCGTGGTCTGCTTGTGCCATGGGAGTTTTCTAAGATTGGAAGAAAAGAAAATCAAACCTAAATTTTGGTCTGTTCTGTAGTACCTGTCGTTTCAGTTTTCTTCTTAATCTCGTCATGTCAGCACTTCTGTATTAGAATGCAACTATATCATGCTTTCCAAAAAAAATCAGCTTCGTGTTTCTTTTGAAATGGTTTGGGCTGTTGTACTTTAAGCTGTGGCAGAGCTCGATCACGTAAGATTTTTCTCAAAGATATGTCTGACTTTTGGATATCTAATCCTTTTCATAAATCCAGTGGTTGAATCTCTCATAACGTCTGGGCACTAATAACCGTGGTTTCTAGCAACTCATTGTTTTCTAAAGCCAATCATAAATATATCTTGGCCTCATTCTTCTGCCAATGCTAAAAAAGAGGATTTTTTTGGTCTTATGAAATTGTGGATTTCTACGGCCGCATATTCCCCTTTGTCAAAATTTAATCTGATTATCCACCATTTTCGGTTTAATGGAAAGCCAACATGCTTTCAAAGCGGAACCCACCCACAGAGTCTTTTGATCACTTCAATATGATTTCAAAATTTTCAAAGAAAGATGAAAGATCTACTAAGGTATTTCATTTACAATTCTTCATTCTCATTGGTAGTAGACTTTTGCATAGTTCCTTTGTATATTGCGGAAACCTTAGGGCCACTGAAATTTCTGGTCTTATACAACGCCTTTAGAACTTAATTCATAAGCTTTGCTGTGCCATGAGTTAACCATAGTATGATATAGTTTTATTAGAAACCTTTCAAAACCAATCCAAACAGCTAACTATTCCAAAAAAGGAAAACTGAGCAGCTTCTCTGTGCCTTGATGACTGTTGGAGATTCATTCGTTTTTGAGAAAACAAGGGTTCCAAGGAACACTGGCAGTGGGGTGTTCGTAATTGATGCTGGTCAAGGGCAGACGTCCCCATATTACACTGCCACAGATGTTGAACGTCAATCTAATGAAACTAATTTTGTATATTGAAGTTTTAGGGGTGATAATGTTCCAAATTGCATCCCGCTTGGTATTTTTTTTGTTGTTCTTCTGCCTTCACCATCCAAAGAAACTATGACGAGATGGATAATCTTACCTTGTTAACACTTTCATTCATAGCAGGCCAAACTCTCGAAGAAATGTCTCCAGCCATGAGATTGAAGTCAAGAGACAAGTTCTCTGGGAAGGTGGCAGCCAGAGATCACCGTTTGGAGCAAAAGGCCCATACTAAGCTCTCAATGGCACCAGTCAATGCCAGGAGTATGGAGGCGGCCACCTTGTCATCTCCCCCTTCCCCAGCTCCCGAAAGCTACTGCCTGGCTCAGGCTGCAGGTGAGCAGTCAGGCAGCTCCAGTGGTGCTATCACAGAGTACGATTCCCTCTCCACCAATGGCAGCTGCTCTGGTGAGTCGGAGGATCTGAAGGAGCGACCGGCCGCAGTGGGACCCTCTGCTGGCTCTGATATCGAGAAAAGAGATAAGATCCGGCAGAAGAACGAGCGAAAGCACCAGCGCCAGCGAGAACGGCGGGCCCAGGAGCTCCATGAGCGTGCCCAGCGCTCCCTTATGGCCTGGAAGCTGGAGACCCTGTCTCAGAAGTTGGTCGCCATGGGCTTCCCCCTTGGGCGGGTCACCACTGCCCTCCTCCTGAACAAAGGCCGTGTTGAGGAGTCCGCAGTGTGGCTGCTCGATGGTGGGGAGGAGGCGGAGCTGCTGAGGGGCGCTGCCAGCCTCTCTGACCTTGGAGACGAGCTGAATATTGACATCAGTGAGGAGCTGACAAAGATTGCCAATTTGGAGGCGAGTCTTCAGTGCTCAAAGCAAGAGGTTGAGAGGGCCATTGTTGCTAGCGATGGCAACTTGGAGAGGGCAGCAGAGACCTTGAAGACTCTGAAACCGGTGTCTCCTTTGGCACCATCCAAGGATGAGGTGTCCTCTGAGCCTCCTGCAGCAAGTAGGATGAACAAGGTTGCAGTAACCATGCCTGTTCAGAATTTGCGGTTGATGAGAACCCAGGTGAAGGTGGCCACCAGTTCTTCTGCCCCGCTGCTGCAGAAGAGGGACGAAATGGGCTACAATTACACAAAGGGGGCTGCTGCTGTTGTGGCATCTCTGTCATCAGTTCCCAGTATCAGGAGCTCGCAGTCAGCACAGCAGTCACCGCTGCCGAAGGCAGCAGAATGGGCGAAGCCGCCAGATGTGGTGGTGGGGGTAGTGGACAAGATGTGGCCAGGTGTGTCAGCCACTGGTGCACAACCCCCTGTGTCAGCATTGCCATCGTCACCAGTGGTGGCCCCACCTGCGAAGTCTGAAGCTCGGCATGTAGCTGCCTGGTCTGAACCCAAGACAGTTGCCCAGGTAGGTGGTGCTCTGAGAGAACCTGTGATCGTCATGCAGCGACCGCAGCAGCCTGCTGCAGCAAAGAACAGCTCCAATTCTTCCCGTGCCGTCCTCAATGCCCCACCGCCAGTCACCTCTGGGCAGTACCCAGTGGAGATAGATGTGGCAGAGACGTCGAAGCCGGTGGAAGCAGCAGCAGCAGCAGCAGCAGCACTAGGACTCGGCCACCTGGGCCGCCATCAGAACCAGAACCAGTTCCGGCCCTTTGTTTTGGGCTCTGTAGGTGCCACTGCAGCGGCCTCTTCACTCACATTGCCGCCATCTCTTGGGTTCTTCACTGGCTGGGGATCTGCAACACCGCCAATGGCTCATTCCCCATTCTCCATGGATTGGACCTCCATGGACAGCTCAATGGTGCAGTGCGACTATGCCACCATTGACTGGAGCTTGGACTCCACGCCATGTGATCTCGGAGGAGCCTTCAGGAAGAGTCAGTGGCTGTACGACGATGCATGGCCCTTGACGGTCCTGGAGAAGGAACTGGGGATGAGTGGCGGCAGGATCCATCACAAGGCGGGGCTGCAGGTTGGCGGCCTGGCGGTGAGTCCGCCGCCGCTGTCGCCGTCACCTGCTGCAGTAGCCCATGAATGGACATCCCCATTTGCCGGGAAGGACCTGTTCTGTCTTTCCAGGCAGTTTGGGGCATCGCCTTCGCTGTAATGGCAGAATGCAGAACGATGAAATTCCCCCTGGTGATGATGTGATGGGTTCTCGACGCATGCGGCGATGCCGCCTCTGTTATCCATGCCTGCCTGTGTGATTGGTTAGGGTGGCTCCTTGCTCTCAGGGGATCATCCTCCTTGGCGACCCCGCCCTGCAGAGGATCTGGCCTACGGATGAATCAATCTCCTTAACCAGACCACGGAATCCAGACCATGGAAGATGATGATTATGAGAAAAATGCTGTACTTAATGGTTCAGCAGAATTATAAAACAAGGCAGCCCTCGTTTCCTCCACACAGGAAAAACTCTGCCACTGGCTTTCGTCTCCAGTCCATCAAGAGAAGAGGTGGAGGAACCAGTCAGATTCTATCAGGATCTGATTGGCTGAGGTGGGTGCTGCTACGGTGGATCTCGCTGTATGTAGGCCAGGACGAAGTGGGCCTCGTTGGATATGACGTAGGTCCAACGGTACCTAATCTCCCCAGCAGCACATCCAAATTATCAACAAAACTATTAAGGCTCCTAAAGCCAGCATAAATATCTTAAAGCTTAGAGTTTAACAAGTGAGTATAATCTAAAGGCCTTTGCAATCTGATCTTGTCAATAAAATGATTTGTAGTGTGGTATGACTCTTTTGTTGTAAACAATTTATCTTGAAAGAGATGAAATAATAATATATATCTATTTTTTATTTTTTTCTCCCTTTGAAGAGTTCATCAAGAGTTTTATTGGTGGAGTGTGAGCCATGATATTTTCCACCACTTGATGAGCTCCATGTCTTTACAAAGGATGAGTTTTCCCTGATCTGGTATTGAATTGTCATAAGTTGATCTCACAATCTCGTGTTAGGCTTTCTTCTAATTTTTGTAGCCATTTGATGAGGCAGTAGACAAGGTAATTTGTCTTTAATCATTTATCTCAACTAACCTCCTTTTGATCTAACATTATCTCAACTAGGTCTACAAATTTGGGCCATATTGCTAGAGGTGAGTATTGAATATATTTGTACTTTATATCCCTTTCATTTCTATGGTATAAGTTGAGCAACATTATGTGGTGGATTGAATGAATATTAAACTTTGTAGCAAATTGAGATAGTAGATCAATTCTCCCACCCTAACCACAATCTTAAATGGTTCAACAATTTTGATAGGGTTAACAACTATCGTCTCATTACAAGCCTAAACAATAACTAGAATTGAGAATTATTTAACAACTCTACTTAGTTCTCTTAGTTGGCTGTTATATAGTGTCAAAGATAATTTAACATTCATGGAATCACTCTATTTGATCATCGATTTACAAATAAAAGTTTGACGAAAAATTTAGGTTAGTGAAGAGTGTTGTTTAGAACTTCTTAGTGAATCAAGTATGTTAATCATTGATAATGTTTTGTGATTGTTTACGCATCTTCATTAATTTAGTTATAAAGCAATGCACCATCTCTTTTATTGAGCTGTCTATTATTGTCATCTTGAATATTGTATAACCACTACGCTTATTATGCTCTCACCATTACACTACCTATGTCATATCCTATTATGATCATTATATATTTACCCACTTCATACATATGGTATGTGTCAACTTGCTACCCACACTTGTCATCCACTACTACTCACCATATAACATACACTTATTATGCCTATGCTTCACGCATGATGCCATATACTTATGGTTGCAAAGGTTCATCAAATGCTTGTATAGTGTTATTGTCTTGTTGTACCATATTATAACTACCAAAGTTCATTGAACCACTTTGAGATCTTGACTCAATGGAGTCCAAGGCATCATAGATGATCCTTAGAGAGAGGAGTAGGTTAGGTTGATCTAACTATTATAAATTTTAGTTTAATATAATTTAAAGAATTACTAAATTGGTAATAATAAAGTAGCATACCAATTCAATTCCTCATCCCCTCTTGATTTATAATGCCACTATGTTATAGTTAATAATATATAATAATAATAAATCATTTAATGAATGATTTAAGGAATGACAAGCATTAGATTTCATAAGTTCCAATAAATCAACAACATACATTTGCCTCCATAAACTTAATACATAACCATTAAATAATAACTAGAGATGATGCAATACTAAGTTTTCAATATTAAGTTTTTGCCATTGTCACTTATATTAGTAATACTAATAAAATTGTAACATAACTCATTTACAAATAAAAGATGTTTCAATATGAACATAATTATTAATCTAAATATTATTATAAAAAATTATCTTTCCCTTTATATTATGCCTAAATCTGACTTGTCTACCATCATTTTTAATGAATGAAGTTATTCACCTCAACTTTCTAATCTTATGCTTTTAACCCCTACAATCTAAATAACACTACCCCTAATAAGTTTAAATTAAATTTTAGTTTGGGAACCTAAATTACTTTCAATAATTTAGGCACCCATATTTTGATGTTCTTTTCTTTATGCAAGTTAAACATCTATTTGAATACACCCTGGTTTCCTGAAAGAAAAACATAGTTTGTCATGAAAGAAAAATTAGAAGATTAAAAAACATAATTATAATTTTCCATAGGTAAGTATTTGAAACCTATTTTATTTTTTATTATTTTTAATCTCTAATAATAAATGAACTCTTCATTGGCTTTTTTAAAATCCATCTAAAAAATCAAAATTATATGATTATATAGAATAAAGATGGTTTTTGAATATCATCAAGCATTTCAATATTAATATGCTTACTTTTCCAATCATTTTCCACATTCTTGTATTGAAGATGTTCAACAAAAAAATTGAGTTTAGCACAAAAAATTATATCTATATGTAATTAATCATAAACTTCTTCTATTTCTAATTAAGTAAAAATCAGGATCCTCAATTATTGTAGGTAGTAAAGAGATGTTAACTTCTTCATTTCCATCTAATACTTAGTCTATAAAAGTCTTATCTATAATGTGAAATATTAGTCAACTTTCATTCATTTAACTTTACATGTTCCTTCAAATGTAAGCACAAGTTTGCATTCTATTGATTTTCTTGTTTAACAATTTGAACAGTAAAATCATTTGAGTCAAGTACACAAAATAAGAAGTCAATATCCTTTGTATTCAATGATAAAAGCTTCTTATGTTAACCATTTAAGATACTTTGCATACTATGTTAGAAAAGATAGAGAAATTAAAGGGCGGTAATGAGTTTGTCATTTTAAACAACAAAGAATTACATATAAACTATGCATAATGCAACCAACTTTTCAAAAAAAAATTAGTTGACTCAAGAATGAACTTAGATATGTAAATTTGAACATCTTAAATTTATATTGGCTCATCCCTCTTAACTTCTTTGACTCGTCATAAGTTGTGCCCTTGAATTTCACAAACGTTTTTTTAATATACTCTATTCAATTTACGAAATTCAGCTAAACCCTTATATTGTCACACTTGTAGGTTGGCTTAGTGTCTAAAATATTTTGTCTACATTGAAAATTTTAGATTGATCCAATTATGTGAATTGCTCAAATATAGAGTATCATGGAATAAGAGTTAATGAGTCTAATATACTTGAGACATCTTGTTTAAATGTGAAGATGTTAAGATGTTAGATAAAAGATATAGATGTTTCTTTTTCTGTAGCAATGCTTACTAATATGAAATTATTTTAGAAAGAGTAGCTCTATTTGAATGTTGTTAAGGGTAAAGTTTTTATGAGATAACATTCTCCTTAAATTTTGTACTTAAAATGGTCAATAATGGTGGTGGAGCTCTTCTAATGGCTAAATGTGGAGTGCAAAAAAAATATTTTTGAGCACAAAATATGTTCATATACAGTTTAAAGTCCTAGGATGAAGATATAAACGTAATCTCACATGGTGAGAATTTCAGAATGAGAGATAAGTTGAATTGACACTTGAAATCACTCTACACCTTGAACTATATTATTCTTGACACACGAATTAGAAATAATAATTAAGATACCTAAGGAATAACAAAGTGAGAATTAAAGTGCTAAATTAAACTTCAAAGTTAGTGTTTCATTCTTATCTTTTTTGTGATTATTTAAAACTTTCTTTGTATTAAAAATTATTTTACTATTTCAATGAAAATTCACATATTAGCATGATGTCTGTTAGATATAGCATTCCACCTACAAGACTCATTATCATCAGATATAATTATGGCATAATAGTTGTTATTTAGTTAAAAAATAAATGGCATATTTGAAAGACTTAGAGAAGGTATCATATTAGTCATTTTCATTGGGATTTTCAAGTTTAAAAAGAGAATGCTGAGGAAAAAAACAAAGGAATATAGGATCTAAATTGTATCTATAAATTGAACTTTCTTGTTCATTTGAAAGTCCCTACAATCTATTTATCCTCGTGTTTTTCTACAAACATTTTACAACATCAAATGACAAGAATTTCTACTATAATTTAGATTGAATTATAATGTGAGAAATTGAATTAAAATCTAATTAAGAAAATATTTTACTCTAACTTGAAATAAATGAGATGTCTTTGTAGTTCAAAGAACTTCTATATGAGGAGAGGATCAAGAAAAAAAAAATTACTCTCCATTTTAGATGAATCATGAGTTAATCCTTGTCATAAAAAGAGAGAAAACTACACCAATTTTTCAAAAAGAAATGTTAAAATTTTGAAAGTCAAGAAGGAGTTTTGATTATATATTATAAATACTTTTCTACTTAGATTTTTTTAAAAAAACTAAAGTAAAGAGATAGAAATACCCTTGAACATAAAAATTAAGAAGCTTCTAAAAGCTAACATATAGTCATTTATCAGGCTACTTTAAACCTAGGACTCTCTACATCTTTTATTAATATAGAGGGGTTTTAGGAGAGTGTAGAGAGGGTAATACTAGGCATTTAGAAGTTGGTAACTATTAATGCTTGATTTTTAATTCTTAATTTTCTTTATTTTATTATTTTATTATTTTAATTCGTACAATTAAATATATCTTTATATAGTTAATTTCAAAAGGTTAGAAGTTAGAAGATTTAATGTATTTTTTTCTTTTAAATAATATATAATCAATATTAAAAATATTATATATATTATTATATTTTATTATCATAATAGGTTGCTAGACAACCATCCCCACAGCCCATGGCTTGCACTTGGATTGAGAAATTATTGAAGGGAGAATAAAGTGTTTTAAGATATACGTGACATATTTGTCAAAAAAATTGATGAGGGAATAAAGTTTATTTCTATTTTTCAGGGTAGTGATTCACAACAAGTTAATCTTGCAGCATTCAATGTGTCATATGACCAAATGAGGCTGATCTGGTGATGAGTGAAGTGCCGTGATATTAGGACTTAAGTTCTCAATTGGAAGTGGTTTGCAACAATTTAATCATATGATGCTCAATATGTCACATGACCACAATACCACAATACTTAGAACTTCAGTTTTCACACGTATCACTATTAGGGATATAATATAATAATAGATTATCATCTAGCAAAACAAATATTATCTATTATCTTTAAAATCCTGACATCAATTGCAAATATGACATCCATTTGTCAATGCCTCTAGTTGACAATTGACGAATTCACTTCTTCCTCCCCCAACTACACACAAGGCCTCCAACAAGTAGTTAGTTCCTCCCTTATCTCCTCAGATGACGATGATAGTGTGGTAGACTCTTCTTCATGGTGGATCTCATCGACGAGCAATGCATCACTTCTGAACGATATTCTTACGATTTCCAACATAGCATGACATATTTCTCAAGAGGCAAACTAATCTTGCACAACATTTTTTTTCAAAATTTATTTATATTGTATGTCAAATTATTTCTATTTATCAAAATTTTCTCATAGAAATAAATAGAATTAATTTAAAACCTAATAAATGATCTATGTTCATCTTCTAAACATTTCAAAACTCATTTGAGATCAAGTTGAGATCATGTCTAACTTATTTTTTGTTGATTTCATAATTTAATCTCAAAGAAGTTGTATTCCCAACTAATGTAACTTAATCATTGTATAATAAATCATGTAAATTTAAAATTTATATAAATATATTTTTTTAGATTTCTAAAAATAATTAAATATAAATAAATTAAATATAATATGTAGTTCAAAAATAGTAAAAAAAATTCAAACTAATCATAAGGATGCAAGATAATATCTTGTAAGGTTTTAGAATATTTTTCAAAGAATATGATTTTTATGATTTTTAAACTAAAGGATGAAGATAAATATATTTAAAATTTATGAATAATAAAAATTCAAGTATGGACATAAGATGACATCAGCACTCCAACAAATATGATTTGGATAGAAATAGAGTTCCACCTGATGATTTCTTGTATAAATAATTACAAATTATTTAATTGATCAAATTAAGAGCAATAAAAGTTAGAAGAATTATAATTAAAAAATTAAATTAAAATCACATAAATTTTTATTAATTTAAGTAAAAATTAAATTTAAAGTAGAAAAGGTAGAGTTTTGGTTTCACGATAATGCTCGTTGAAATTCTATATTTAGGAGGATTATTGTGAGATGTTTACAATCTCAAAGATTCCCCTTAAATATAGACAATGTGAATAATTTGTTGATCTTCTTGTAAAGTCTAAAAATGAATAAAATAGGTCAATGAATCATTTATGATGACTATCACCCAACATAATAAGAATACATGAACTTTTAGATCTTCAATGGCTATCACTCTGTGAAATAAATTGAATGGAGATAGAGACATGTCTTAGAGAGTTTCATCCTCATGTCAACACAATAAGAGTAGACTCTTTATTATATCCTCAAGTTGATGTAACAAGGTCGTGACTCATTTCTCAGCGAATCATCATCTTCTCGATGATGACTTATTTGTTGATCAATTAGAAATGATTTTCGCGATGAATTTATGATCTTTTTATCCAAAATCATTCAATAATTAGTAATAATACTTCACAAATCGTATTGACAATATTTTTACTAATGATTGAGTAATTTTGATGACTTAATCATTGACCAATGATCTATAAGAAAATTATGATTTAATTAGATAAAAATATTAATTTTGACTTTGGTTAAATCCGAACTCTTATTGGTTGCTCGATTATATAAGAGAGAGTTAAACAATCACATTTATATCTTTACCTAGTGACGTCATAGAGTCACTCCTTTATCATAAATAAAGCAGTAGCTATAGGTATAAAAATATGTAAAACAAGTCCTTTATCTACTTGTGGACTCGACTAGCTAGTGGGTACTTTGACTATGTTTCTACTTGCTTTTGGGCCATGTTGGCTGATGGTTCCCTCCTTTTCATATATATTTTTATTTTATTTTATTTTTCTTTATTTTACCTCAAAAATATGATTATAAAATTTATATAAATTTACATAAAATAACATAATTAGAAAAATTCACATTAACCAACTATTTTTTTCTTAATTTAATATAATATAAAACTATTTATAATAAGTTAAAATTTAAAATATATTGTTAATTAATTATTAACTCATGATAATAAAAACTTATCACCATCATTTCATAGATAACAATTATTTTTCTGATTTTCAATATGAAGTTAGTGAGATTAAAGGTTGATTAATGAGTGTTTAAATGTTAAAATAAGGTAGAGATATTCATGTCATACCTCATGTTATATGTGCTAATTATTGAACACATTCGTCTGATAATCATGATCATCATAAAAATAGGTTAATCATTTATCTCTTTCTCTTTCTCTCGTGAGATCTCTTCCTCTCTCATAAGATCTCTTTCCCACTTGCTCTCTCTCTCTCTCTCTTTCTCTCACTTGTGAGATCTCTCCCTCTCTCCTTTTCTCATGAGATCTCTCTCCCTCTTCCTCTCTCTCTCTCTCTCATGAGATCTCTCCCTCTCTCTCCTTTTCTCATGAGAGCTCTCTCTCTCTCTTCCTCCCTCTCTCTCTCTCTCTCTCTCTCTCTCTCGCTCTCTTGTGAGGTCTCTTCCTTTCTCTCTTTTCTCATGAGATCTCTCTCTCTCTCTCCCTCTCTCTTCATTTCTCATGAGATCTCCCTCCCTCTTCATCTCTCTCTCCTTCTCTCTTTCTCTCTCATGAGATCTCTCTCTATCTCACTTTCTTCTACCTTAAAAGTTCTTCATTTTCTCTGTAAATAATCTTCTCTTTGTTTTCTTTTTCCCTCTACCTCTTCTTTCTCTTTTCTTCACCCATTTTATATAAATATATTTATGTCTGTAATAATTATAATACTTAGTATTTTCTTTCTCTTTATTAAATAGTGATAAAATAAAAATCACTATTCATATAAACTAGATTGAGTTTTTATGACAGAAAGGATGAGTATTTGAATACAAGGAGAAGTGTACATCAATAACATTGGTTATCATAAGTTGTGGCAACTAATTAGAGTTGAACAAACAACAATTTATAAGAGTTACCATTCATAGTTTGTAGCATTAGGTTGAAAGGCTGAATCAGATGTCTCTTGGTCTATCGTATCTTGATCACTAGAAGGATTCTAATTAAAATTGTCCTTTTTGCCTCATATGAAAATTAGTACTTGTGGATATGATATTGAATTCGGCCTTTTGGCTGGACTATGTAGGTTCAGATTAGATGGCCGAATTGGCCACTACTGACTCCTAGATCAATACCAAAAAAAATCTATTGGGTTCAGCCTGACTGAAGTCCAAAGAATGGCCTCAAAAATAATTCTAAAAGCAATTAGTAGAACTGGCACGTGGTAGATGAAGCAAGCTCCTACACTTTCAGGGGGAACACCGTCAAACAAGGCCTGATCACAACAAACATTGGGCTGGACTGAATCCGCCCGGCCGGGCCTTAAAGGCTTAGTTCTGGAAGAATAAGATGGCCTTAAGTGATCTCCAAGAACCTCTACGGCAACTTAAAACTGATTAATATTAGAAGTAAACTAAGAAGAAGAAAACCGTAATTTAAAGGGCTACGGGAGCAAGAAAAACTTAATCTCGACCCCCATTAAATCCCCTCTCCTACCCTCCCGACTCGGCTCCTCAAAATGGCCAGTGGGCTTCCCTAATTCTTCCCATCTATGGAAGGAGGTTGGGAATGGAGAAAGAATGAGGGTTGGGACCCTTCCTCCTGACTGCCATGCACAGAGAGAGAGAGAGAGAGAGAGAGAGAGAGAGAGAGAGAGAGAGAGAGAGAGAGAAAAGATCAGTTGATGGCGACTATCCTGACTGCCATGCATTGATTCCGCTGCCTTCTTGGGTAGCTAATACCACTGCCTTCTTGAGTACTTAACACCGCCGCCTTCTTGGGTGGCTACTATTGAAGTAGAAATTCCTGCGTGCTCCCACTCCCATTCGTCGTGTATATATGAAGGCATCTTGCCTGGGAAATGAGAGTGTGCGAGAGAGAGAGAGAGTCGCAGTTGACACCACCAGCAAACCATGGCCACCTTCGTTGCTAGTGTGCTCCACCCAGCGGCGCCGAAGTTGCTGCTGTGCCTCCTCGCAGTGGCCGTCCTCCTGGGACCTGTGGAGCCGGCCATCAGCTGCGGGGCGGTGGCCAGCTACATGGCCCCCTGCGTGAGCTACGTGACCATCGGGGGCCCCGTTCCGGCGTCGTGCTGCGGCGGGGTGCGGGCGCTGAGCGCTGCCGCCGGCACCGTAGCCGACCGCCGGCAGGCCTGCAGCTGCCTGAAGTCAGCTGCGTCGGCGATTGCGGGGTTCCAGCCGGCGCTCGCCGCTGGACTCCCCACCAGGTGCGGCGTCTCAGTTCCTTACCAGATCAGCCCCTCCGTCGACTGCTCCAAGTAAGTGCATGTACCGAGACTCTCCTCCTCTCTCTCTCTCTCTCTCTCTCTCTCTCCCCCCCCCCTCCTCCCTCCTCTCTCCGTCTCTCTCCTCTCCTTCTCTCCCCCATGCTCAGCAGCCAAGTGCACGGCTTTCGCAGAGTAAAGTAATCGAAGGGAATCGCACGTGCGGCATCCGAGGTGGTAATAAGTTGGTGTTACACGGCACGTGTCTTCTGGGTTCTGGGCTTTCGGCTGCGTTCTATGCTGGCTTGTGAGAGTACCATCATATACTTTGAGCATAGTGATAGTAAAGTTTATATACATCAGTACATCTGCTTAACAAAAGCCCGTTTTAATTAATTGAAATATTTAATAATTTATATTTTTAGTTGCTCAAAAAGGCCGCCTTGCCCACATTAGTATCATTTTTAATATCGATTAATTAAAATTTGTTACTTATACTTTCATAAGATTTCACTCTAAATGTATTTTTCGTTCAATTTCTTTTTTTTTTTTTGCTAAAACCCTAGCTCAGCTCGGACTTTTAAATTGAATTTATATTTTAGTAAAAATTAAAAATACTTTATCAGATTTTATTTTTCTCAGCAGTAAGTAGACCAAGTAGAACAGCCAATTCGGCACATTCTTCCTAAACATAGTTTAGTTTCAATGAATTATGTTGTGACCAAAAAGAATTGAAATACGTTGGTTACCCAAAGGTGACTAATAACAACTAGAAGCAAAGAAGCAAGTAAAACAAGTAGGCAGAGTCAGTTATCCCTTTCTCTCTCTGCAATCTCTCGTTCTCTCTCCTATCTCTCCCTGCGATCTCTCTTTCTCTCTCTGCAATCTCTCGTTCTCTCTCCTCTCTCTCTTAACTATCTCTCTTTCTCTATCCTATCTCTCTCCGCGATCTTTCTTTCTCTTTCTCCCTCCTCTGATGTTGACCTCCTCATTCTCGTCGTACATTAAAGAACAATATATTCTTCTCGTATGAGCGCACTCGATGAGGCGAGGCCAGAGCCTACTCAACTACCGTGAAGACCTAAATTGTTAAGTTGTGCCGCCGTTTCCTTGATATAATGATGGCCTAAACGGGACATTTTACCACGGCCTCTCTCTCTCCCTCTGTCTCTCTGTGTCTCTCTATTCTCCCTCGGGCACTGAAAGGACGTCGAGAGCGGCCTAACCCCGCGCCGGCCCTGGCTCCGAGCTTCTTTAAAAGGTAACTTCATGCTATTAATGGCAGTCCCTGCGCAGGGAAAGCCAAGGGTCGCCCACCGTTTCTCCTACATTTCCTCAGGCCCTAAAACCCTCACCTTCCCTCTCTCCCTCCCTCTCTCAGGCGACACAAGTCCTCTCCTCTTCCTGAAGATCCGAGAGCAAACTCTTCTCTCCCCGTCATCGTCTTCCTCCTCGCCTTCTCCGGCGCCGAAGGATGGCAGCAGAGATTATGGACAGGGGGGACTCCACCTTCGTTGTGACCTTCGACGACGAGTGCGTCCTCGCGATGGTGACCAGCTCCGGCGACGAGGTCACCGCCTGGCTGACTACCATCCAGCGCATCCACCGCTGTTGCCTCCGACGCCTCGTCGTCGGCCTCGACGCCGAGTGGCTCCCCCAGCGCCAACGCGGTGAGCGGAACCCGGTGGCACTCCTCCAGCTCTGCGTCGGCCGCCGCTGCCTCCTCTTCCAAATCTACCGCGCGGACTATATCCCCGCCGCCCTCTTCGAGTTCCTCGCCGACGACCGCTTTACCTTCGTTGGCGTTGGGGTCTCCATCGACGCTGAAAATCTGCTCGAAGACTACGATCTCCTGGTGCGGCGACCGGTGGAGCTGAGCCCCATGGCGGCGGAGGAGACGGGCAGGCCGGAGCTCCGGCGAGCTGGGCTGGCAGCGCTGGCGAGGGCGGTGATGAGAATCGAGTTGATTAAGCCCAAGAGGGTGACGCTGAGCCGGTGGGACTGCGAGTGGCTCTCTCTGGAGCAGGTGAAGTACGCCTGCATGGACGCCTTCGTCTCCTTCGAGGTTGGTCGCCGGTTGATCGCCGGCGAGTTCTGACCCTTCTACGGCCGGCCGTCTCGGGCGGAACGATGGTCTCCTACAATTTTCCGCTCCTCGAATATTTTGCTTCGTTTTGATTTGGGTTCTGACTTCATGCCATCTTTCCCCGGTCATAATGAGATCTTTCTCGGCGGAAAATCTACCCAATTCCTCTTTTGGAAACTATATTTCCAAAAGAGGAATTGTACTCCAAGACTCTTCCCCAGAAATCCTCCTAAAGATCGAATCTTTTTCTTCGCTTTGATTTGTGGGTTCTGCTTCATGCGAATCTTCGCCGTTCAAGATGCGATCCTTCACTGTTTTTTGCAATGGTATTTACACCATAAACGTGACTACCGGGCAGGATGCGCACCGCTAGCATGAGGATGAGTTTGAATCGGTACGAGGCAGCACGCACGAAGAAAATCTGACGTGACGTGGCGGCGCGGCAGGATCGGTGGAACGCACTGCCGGTGAACGTTCTTCCCTGCGAAGCGGGCAGAACGGGGGTGGGGGGGTTACCGGGCGGGCCGCCGGCAGAAAGGGCAGGCGCCTCGCCCAAAATGAGGCCCGTATTTTGGGGAGCAGGAGAACGTGGGCTGGTAGGGCAAAACGGGGAAGCGTAATTTTCAAAATATAATGTTTGGGGAAATGTCTCTATCGCATCAATTAGCTATCTTCATGGCGCTCCTCTCTATCGCTCTCTCTCTCTCTAAACCGGAGCTGTTTTTCGGGTAATTATCGTGCCTAAAATGCCCTCTCATTACGTGCCCAGATAGAGCGGGAGAGAGAGAGAGAGAGAGAGAGAGATGAGATAAGATAAGACGCTGATTTGAAAATTTTATCCATTGAAGAGTAATTTTATTGGTGAAACTAATTTCAATCGTTTTTGGGGTAGCCCCACTTAATATGATATCATTGACAGGCGCCCTGCTAAAATTTTATCCAAATATTTTTTTTTACAAATAAAGTTTTCAAGAGATTATTGGTACCTTAGGGTCTACAGTCAAAATAGTAGTTCTTCCTGATTAAATCCCGTTTGTGTTCCATATTGTATACCTTATAGTTTGATACCTTATTGTATTCCATATTCTTATATCAAGATACATGGAAGTTTTGGTTAAGTTAACTCTTAGTATCTTCAATGAAATAGCTATCACTTTTAGAAAAATGTGTTCATTATAAAAACTATATATAATTTTGAAACACTGAAATATCTGACGATAAAGCTCTCCTTTTTTTTTTTTTGAAAAATTCTCACTTCTACTTTTTTACTCGAAGCAAGTGGTTTTCAGGCTTATTTCTTTAATCCCGAATTAAACTAATTCTGCATGATTTGAAAACAACCTTCCATACCTACGAATGAAATTCAAAATATTCTGCGATATTGAGCCCCTCTATATTAGGCGCAAGTAGGCGTGAGCATGACTCCAAAGGCTCAATACTTTCCCACCCCTCATCCCAACTAGTTGAAATCATTGTCATTTAATGGCGCTTTCCAAAATATCAGCGATTTGATTCGATACTTCAGTCGTTTTGTAACACAGTCACTCAGAAAAAATGGCGAAGCCCAATATGTTAGGTAGGAGAAGGGTGAAATAGGCTTTAAGATAACTGTATAATACTTGTCATATAAATTTGGTGTAGAATCATTTGTTAATCCAAACTTCTCATTACTATTTCATTCATAAAAATTGATAACAGCATTTTGGTTTTCTAGATGAAAATGACAACAAGAAAGATAGCTTCACATTCTAAAGACTTTTATGAAATACAATTATTGAAATCACAAATGTCAAGAGAATACAATTCATCTCTACATTAACTCATTTTCATGAAATACATTTTTGAAGCTTAACATGCACGATTGATTTAGAATTATCATGTTCATGGTTGATAGTCCCATGCTACTTTGGTCTTTCATGTATAAAACCTGCGACACCCTTAAAGTTGGGAAAGAATCCATGTTAGATCAGTCTCACATTCATGGAAAAAGTTAAGATTAATGGAATCTTATACATAGGGTAAGAATAGTGTTTTCAATCCAAGCCAATTACCATATTTCTAAGTATATTATTGTTAATAATAAACAAGGTTCTTGATTTTTATAAATTCTCAAGGGTACATCTCTACATTTTGAATAGCCTTATTTGTTGGAGCACTAATTAAATAATATTCTTTTGATAAAACAGAGAAAAAAAAAAGATAAAGTCGCAAGTCAAAATTTGATGTATTGAAAAATTTATGATTTTTAAAATATTTAAAATTATTTTTCTGTATTTTTTAGAATCTCCACACAGCCCCTTAAGGCCCCACTTAAACCTGACCATTTGTCTCGATAAGGGCCAAAATGGAGTGATCAAGCTTGACCCATAAAAGGAATATTTTGTCCAAATTAGGGTAAAAAGAAAGTACGCGATTATAAGACCATGGTGGCTACTTCAATGAACAGTAATCTTCTTCATCATCTCCACTCCAAGATTCAAGGGTAAGGTTTGATCATTTTATTGGAGTTGTGAATACCATTTAAAACCTCAAGTGCTTTGTCCCACAACCCAACACTTCTCAAATCATTTATTAACTCTTGGTGCACCAAAATGATATTTGACAGTTATGGTAACATTGTTCCACATTCTTCTTTGCTTGTGTTTTAATTTGTCGTGTGTAGACTTGTTAAGAAAATTGAGGTGTGTCCCTAACAAAATGACATAGGCCATTGAAACATTTACAGCTTGTTTGCAACAAAAAAATCAAAGAATTTTAAGATTAAGATTTTAAATTGAGTTATCATAAGTTTGAAGAGCTTGGAGATGTATGTAGTTCTTCATCCCTCTAAAATAAAATGTACTCTAGTGGTGGAATAGTAGAATTTAAGTGGAATCTTCAAAAGTGAATCATGGATGATGGAGTTCAATTAAATAACTCTAAAATTATGTGTGCTTAATTTCTTCTTGATTTTTTTATATTTATGTATTAATATAGAGACATAATTGAGATAATAATACGTAAAATAAAATTTAATATACTTAATCAAATGAAAATTAAAAATCAATTTTCCCCTCTTCTTATTTATCTATCTATCAAGGGACCAATATATGTTGCATTAGTTTAGGACCATTCAAGTTTTGAACTAATTTCAAAATTTTAACATTGCAAAAAGGCAGAAAATAAGAGAGGTTATCAAATCAAAGTTCTCTACAAGGCCAACATTTGTCCAATAAATAATTAGTTTACAATGATCATCTTTGGCTTCTCTACCATCTTAAAAATCTTTCTAACATTTTATTAGAGAATTATGCATAAATTGAAACAAACTTTGAATTTGATCAAATGACTAGAAGACAATGACTTGAAAACCAAGATTCAATTGAAGCAAGGTCATCTTCAACTAATCAAAGTGCCAACATCTTCAACCTTCAAAGAGCTTCCCTACAAAAAATAAGAGAAAGAAAATTGGCTTTAATTTAACATCATATTTATCATGTTTCCATATGCACCTCAAGTCAATGTCAATGATTGAAAATATCCTATAGTGAAATTCTTTCTTATTTTTTATGTGAAAACTTATAATTAAATATTGATTTAATCTCTCAAGGGATTAATCCTTGTGATTAGTGGTGAGCCTCATAAAGCCATCAATTTAAAAGAAAAAGTTAAAGAGATATTTTAGAGAATTGAACCTAGTAGTTATGGATTGTTAATATAATTAATGATTTAGTAGAACCCAAAAATAAGTATATTATTGAGAAGTGGACATAGGTATGGAGCCAAACTATTATAAAAGTCTTTGAGTATCTGACAAGTCTTCATTATCATGAGTTAATAATTAGTAAATAATATAGTTTTAGTCTGAACTCATGATAAATAAACTTATATTTATGTTAAATTGTGAAAAATAATTTTTAGTTGATTAAAGTGAATTTTTGACTCATTATGTGATTTTTTATAAATTTATATGATTTTTATAGTTCTATTTTTGAGATAAATAAAGAAAAAGAAATTAAAATAAAATTATAGCAAATAAGGGGACTCGTTAGCCAGCTAGGCCTACAAGCAGGTAGAAAGCACAGTCAAGGGGAGCTGCGAGCAAGAGTTTGAGCGACTAAAATAGTGGGGACACACATGCACCACTCCCCTTCTATGTTACCAGTGGCCAACTGACTATGGGGTAAGGAGTGGTCATACACACAAGAGAAAGGGACTCATTACTTCCAAAATATGATATTACTATATATTAACTTAAAACTTCAGTGTATAGGTGATGTGGGACTAAACCTATATCACACCTTCCCTAAAAGGGTTCAAAGATTTGAATACCTAAACTACCTTTTTATTATAATAAAAATATATTATGATGACATCACTTGATAAAGGTATTAGAGTAATTTAAATCTCTCTCATGTAAACAAGCAATCAACATGAGTTTAAATCTTCTCAGAGCTAAAATTAGTATTTTTATCTGATTATCATGACTTTTTTGTAGATCGTCAATGAAGGATTAAGCTATTAGAATCGCTAGATCATTAGCAAAAATCTTATTAACACGATTCACAAAGCATTGTTACTAAAATTATTAAACGATTCGTGATAAAAGTATCACAAATCTATCGAGTAAATCATCTCCGATTGATTGACGAACAAGTCATCATCGGGAAGAGAATGATCCATCAAGAAATAAGTCGTCGTCTCTTGAGAGCATACTAAATGCAATAAAGAGCCTCCTCTTGCTGTGCAGACTTGAGGATGAAGTTCCCTAACACACACCCCACCTCTATTCAGCTCTTCTTCATTGAGTGATAGCCGCCAAAAAGTTATAAAGTCGTCATTTTTCTACTATCTAATGATAGCTATTAGAGACGATTCAACGACTTATTTCATTGGTCTCTAGACTTTGCAAGATGATCTAGAGATTGTTCATGTTATCCTTATTCAAAAAAATCCTTCAAAGTCATAGACACTACATGACAATCCTTTAGAATGCTCAAGATTCTAATGCATCGTTAACACATTGTAAACGC